AAGGCGATTTCCTGCCTCAGCCTTTGAGTAGCTGGCATTACAGGCACCCGCTAACACCTGCCTAATTTTTGTTATATTAGTAGAGACGGGGTTTCTCCATGTTGACCAGGCGCGGTCTTAGAACTTCTGACCATCAGGTGACCCATCTGTAAGACCTCCAACAGTGCTGGATTACAGACATGAGCCACTGTGCCTGGCGCTGGAATTTTTATTTGTATATTGAGATAAATATTCTGGATGTGAACTTGAATTAGTTACTCGGAATCCTTGTGTTTACAAGGAGAAAGAGCAATCCGATGGAAGTCATTAGGGTTACTGACAGATAGTAGCATGATGGGAGTATAATTTAAATTTCTTCACAATATATATTTTATTATCGTAAGATTGGTTTTTTCCCATTCACATTTTGTGGTTTTGAATTGGGGTTGCATTTTACAATTGTACTGGCAGCACGGCTGTCTGTACAATGCTCAAAGATAATCATAGTTGTTATGTGTATCTCTTTGAGTTGTAATTTTATTATATGCATTTAATTTAATCGCCTTTTAAAATGTCTTCAAAAAGAATACACTATGATTCAGCATTGAAATAAAATTATTGTGCACATAGGAAGGCATTGGAGCAGCACATATATAAATTTTTTTAAAGAAGAAAATAATTGTGTCTAAATAGACTTAACGGTTTTTTGATAACTATATAAATACCAAATTTGTAGGTGAAATGAAAAGACTGTCAGATTTTACTGGTCCGTTTTTTTCTCTTAATGGCACAGATAATGGTTCATTTCAATCAACGATGACTTAGATTGAATGATAGATGTATCTTAATTCAGAGACAACAAGGTAAAGGCTTCCAACGCTTGGGAAGTTTTGAAACTTTCAAACACAAACTTATCAAACACATTACCAGTGGTTTTTATGGACGTGACCTTAAACACTTTTTGAACCCAGGAGGCAGAGGTTGTGGTGAGCCGAGATCACGCCATTATGCTCTAGCCTGGGCAACAAGAACGAAACTTTGTCTCAAAAAAAAAAAAAAAAAAAATCCAAATTGGTATTAGTGAATCTCTAAAATAGCATCAAAGATAGGAGGAAAGGGGAAGGAAAGAAGAAATATATTGGATTTTCTAGTACTTTTGAGTATGATATAATAAAGATATTCTCACAAGCCTGAGTTAAATGAACTATAAATGACTGTACTTTTTCAAACTTCTTTTAATTCCAGCAAATTAAAACAATTGAAAGATACATGAGACGCCTGGAGTTTCACATTAGTAAGGTAATTGAAGTTCCTGTTCTCGTTGCCTGTTTTTCAGTTCTATTGCTAATCAAGTACACCTTTGGCCTGATCGTAGTATCTAGTGCATGGAGAACTTCCTATCCAATTGACTCTCAAGCTGACTAGCAATTAAGTCCTCAAATGGGCACTAAAGATGGAGGAACAATAAGAATGGAAGGCCTGATGACCCGGCACAGTTTTGGCTCTACCTCAGTTCCACAAACATTTATTAAGTGCTAAGTAACAGGCACAGTGCCCGGTGGAGGACTTCCAGCCTCAGTGTAGTGTGCTTAAACTATCAATCAAACTAGCCCTACAAAAAACTTCATGTTTGCCTGACTTTACACTCTGGTTCCACATAACACTTGGTACCCCATAAACTTCTTCGTGAAGGCCTTGTAACTACCAAAAGATCGCTGTCTCAGCGCCTCCCTCAATCTCTCTCAAGCCCTTGGTTCTTTCCACTCTTCCTCATATAGCATGGTTTTCAGGTGCCGTGTTATCCCCTCTGCCCTGGATGTGCACTAGCTTGCCAGTGTCCCACACACTCAGCCCTGAACCCTATAGTTCACTGGTGGTACAATGAGGCTATCACCCCCTTGTTCTGGGCACTGTCAGGAGTTACTGGTGCCAGCTAGAAAACATCTACCTTTAGAGGCAGCTAAATCACACAATTATCAATTCCTGTTTGTCTATATCCATCAGCCTCTAAGTGGGAAGCCTGGGAATTTTAGCAGATCTCTCTGAGTCAGAAGCCCTAGGTTCTAGTCCCAGCTCTGCCACATACTCACTTGCTATGTCATCTGTGTGAATCTTGGCTTTCCGCTCTGTGAAGTGGCGCTGGGGAGGTGCACAGATTTGATCTACATGATCCTAAGAATCCTTTCCCATTTAAAATTCTAGGACGATTTGTATGTGTGAATACACACGTATATGCTACTGCCTTTGTACATTCTTGCTTTGAAAGATATTTACTACCTAGGCAAATCTGAAATTGCTCCTATTTCTGCTAAACTCAATAAATAAAACAATGACATCCATCAGAAGGTATTTATGTGACAGGCAAGCTTTGACCTATTATTGTTTAATTCAAAAAACAGCAAGAAAACTATCAGTATGAAGTAAGGGTATATTTATCAATATTGTATCCATGCTTGTTAGATAGAACAATCCTAATGGTTTTCAAAGGTCAATGGTACTCTTTCTGTTTGCAACATCTTATATCCAGATGCCTAACAAATGATATGTAATTGAATGATTCAATTAATCAGTTTATTTAATGAGCCATTGCTGACTCATAGGTAAGATAAATGCTTGCCTACAAATGGCTTTCTGCTAAGGTGACTACATAGGTATACTTCATCCAAAAGTTTAATTCTATTTGGCTAGGATAGGTTGATATTTAAGCAAAAACAAAGAATAAACTTTCTCGCTACACAAAGTAATAGATTAAGTCATTATGGCTATACCGATGGTCCTGTGAGCACTGTCTCCTTATTGAAAGGATAACAAGCTCAGAAACTTTGGCATACCCACTAGTAGGGAAAATGGTTGCAGGGGCAGTTCCCCCAAAAGACCACATGGGTGACATAGCCTGACCCGCATTGGAAGAGATATTAGCACTTGGGTTTCTAAAAGTTTTGTGGGGATCTCCCACATCAGAACAATTTGCAATGTTTACTTAAAATTTCAGATTCCTGGCCCAGCCCTAACCTACGGAATCAGCACCTCAGAGTGGGGCCTGGGCATCAGCATTTTAACAAGCTCACCAGATGAGGCTTAGCTTTAAAGCATGGAAACCACACTCTATGCCAACCATCAACCAAAAGATGTCATCAGCAGATAGGACACTCCTTGAGTCTTATATCTCCCTCTTAATCAGAGATAAATCCATTGACCCTGAAGATTAAAGATGATTCTTTTCAGTTTCGTCATTCTTCTCAGTGGAGTTGAGTGCATTGTTGAAGTAAATAGCAACAAAGAATCCTTTAATCAAGAGAATAATTTTTAGTCTCTTAATGTTTGCATTCTAAGCTAAGTGTCATTGATATCTGTGTAAAGAAAGCAATTATGGAAAATTGTACTCCTCAGACAGGTTATAGTAATGCTTTTTAGTAAGCAGCCAAAAGTTTGCCTTCAGAACAAAAGGGGACTCTTAAACTCTGAAATCTAGTATATGCATCTCCACCTTCTGGATCTATAGTTAAGCTTCCTTTTTGAAGAAACAAAGTTCATACTGAACTGAAAATTCAAACAGTGCTAGGTAAGTATGCCTCCCCAAAGCAATAGGTTTTATTTGCATTTGACAATGCCTGATGGTATTGTTGTTTGTTATCCGCCTGAAAATTATTGTAGTTAACTGCAGTCAATTAAAGATAGTGCCAGACTTGTAGAGATAAATATCATTAGGAATAACTTTAGAACAGGTTTTTTTGTTTTTTTTTTTTTCCAGCTAAGCACAGTGATGTGCACCTGTAGTCTCAGCTACTTGAGAGGTTGAGACAAGAGGATCACTTGAGCCCAGCAGTTAGAAACCAGCCTGAGCAACGTAGCAAGACCTCATCTAAAAAAAACAAACAAACATTTTTTTCAACCCTAGCACTGCTGGCATTTGCAGATAATTCTCTCCTGCAGGAGCTGTCCTCTGCATTATAGGATGTTTAGCAGCAGGCCTGGCCTCTACCCACTAGATGCCAGTAGACCCCTGGGGGTCAAAATTGCCTTGGGTTGATTAAGAATCACCTCCTTAGAAGAATTAGCTGATTATCAGGCTTATATGAGTATAAAATCAATAGTCATTTGAAAAGGATATATTATTATTATTTAGAAGCATAAGTGTAGATGTGTAGCAAAAGAAAAGTTCATTTATATTGCTTCCATTTATTTTTTTTTTTTTGTAATTGTCATATAATTTACATGGAAAAGAGTTCAGTTCTTAAGTGTTCAGTTTGATATATTTTGACAATTGTGTTTTACCCTAATTTTAAGAATAACTTTTTCTCTTTACAGTTGAGCCAAGACTTTACAAAAATTATCTTCACTATATATCCCCAAGTTACCTTATGAAATACTAAATCCGGATATGTAATTATCGGGATTACAAATCCTAATATTGTGACACTGCCTCTTAAAGTGATATTAGCCTAGGATACTACAAAGTTTTCACCTTGGTATGAAATTGTATAAACTCTTTCAGTGTTTGTTCTATAAACAGAAGGCTCTCATCTTCCTTATTTAATACTTACAGTCTTATTTAATACTTACTTATTTTTATTATTTAATACTTATTTAATAATTTAATACTTACAGAAGGCTCTCATCTTTCTTATTTAGTACTTACAGTCCACCCATGGACCCACAAAGTCACCTAGGAGTCATTTTAAACAATTCCAATGATGGCCTCAAACAATGCAAGAGAGGCGTTTCCCTTTTGCATAATTTGAAAACAGGATTAGAGCAAAATCTGTTTTGAGACAAAATGTATCACAGTGGCTAAAATAAAAGTGATCGGTCCCTATCTAAAAGGATAATACTTCTACAGGATTCTCTTTGTAGAGGTCAGAAATTATAAAGTACGTTAATCATGTAACAATGATCTATGTATTTTCTTTCAAGCCTGACATTTATTTCTGTTTCCTGTTTTGATTCTGGCAGGTAGATGAACTCTATGAAGCTTATTGTATCCAGCGACGCCTCCAGGATGGTGCCAGCAAAATGAAGCAAGCCTTTGCAACATCCCCTGCCAGCAAAGCTGCCCGGGAGAGTCTGTCAGAGATCAATCGGAGCTACAAGGAGTACACAGAGGTATAACCCACTAACCTGCTTAAGTTGCCGAATCCCATCTGGCCTGGTGTGAATTGTTGGTAATTGCCAAGAACAAGGCAAACAGCAACCCACAACCTCATTCCACCCTCTAGAAAGATAGGTTCTACTGTTAGCCTCAAAAGTATGCAAGAAAGGCAATCGGTGGAATTGCTTAAAATGAATGAATAAGCTGGGAGTGGTGGCACATGCCTATAGTCCTAGTTACTCAAGAGGCTGAGGCAAGAGCATTGCTTGACCCCAGGAGTTCGAGGCTGCAGTGAGTTACGATCGCACCACTGCACTCCAGCCTGGGTGACAGAGTGAGACCGCATCTCTAAAGTAAAATAAAATGAATGCGTAAGCCACATTGCCCTGATTTGTGTCCTTGAAACACACTTCTAAATATTCTAGTGTAAATCGAGCCGAGTTTTATCCCTGGAAGTGGAGCAGACCCTATGGTTCAGATAGCTACACTGGATGTCAGTGTTGGATATCAGTAACACTCTGCCTACCATGTTTTTTTTTATTGTGAGAAATTTTTATCATAAAGGAGCCAAGATTAAGAACCGTGAACAGAAGTGTGCTTTCCTGGTTTCCAGCTCTCTGGAAGAGGTAGAGAGGTCTTCACTCCTCCTGGGGTCACCTAATACCAATGTCTTTGATGAAATGACTAAATTATTAAAGCAGCACTCCTCACTATCCCATGAGTCTTTGTTCAGAGATCAGATTTCATGAATGAAGTCATCAGCCTGTAGAGGGTCTGTTGGACAATTCCCAGAGCTGAGCATCTGTCTCAGCCCTGGAATCAGAGGGACAGCTTGGATGACTGTCAGTAGGATCCCTTTGTGTGTACACTCCCACGTTGCCTCTTGTCTAAACCAAGTTTGTCTCTTTATTTCACTTAAAGCAGGGCTTCTTTACCTAACTTCCTCCTTTAGAATTATCTATTTATTTATTTATTTATTTATTCATTCATTTACTTATTTTTGAGAGATGGAGTCTTGCTCTGTTGCACAGGCTGGAGTGCAGTGGTGCGATCTTGGTTCACTGCAACCTCTGCCTCCCGGGTTCAAGTGATTCTCCTGCCTCAGCTTCCCAGCTAGCTCTCCTGCCTCAGCTTCCCAAGTAGCTGGGACTACAGGCGTGTGCCATCACACCTGGTTAATTTTTGTATTTTTAGTAGAGATGGGGTTTTACTATATGTTGGCCAGGCTGGTCTCGAACTCCTGACCTCAGGTGGTCCGCCCGCCTCAGCCTCCCAAAGTGCTGGGATTACAGGCATGAGCCACCGAGCCTGGCCTAGAATAATGTTTTTTAAATGCATAAAATAAAATACATAGGAATTGAAAAGAAGAAAATATATTGAAATATAGTTATTTCAATATCATCAGTACAGTTTTCAAAATATTTTAAAAGCCAAATGTGTGACATGGTTCTATGCTGCTGCTTTATTAATACATCAAATTATAAGATCTAGTAGTGGCTCTAATAACTACTGAAACGTCAAAGTAATGAAAAGTATAAATGATTTTTTAAAAAGTTATCTGCAATAAATGATGGGACATGAACATGTATGTGATTTCTATCAGTGTCAAAGTCACAGGTATGGCTAATACTGCTGTGGCCCGTTTTCTACCTTCATCATCCCTAAACATGTTTAATTTCAGTTAAATGTTAGTGAAAATGAAGATCTGACTCTTCCTACCCTCCCCTATCCTACTTTATAGACCTGCAGATTGAAAATTCCTGGCCTAGAAGCAATCTTAGTTCATGAGACCCCATTTCTGCAGATCTCTGAAATCAGGAGAACCGTTTCCGATTATAGAGGATGTTTATAGGACAAATGCTGATAACTGACCAGCAGCATGCAGGGACTGTCTGTGTTGGCATATTTGCAGGTCATTTCAGACAGAGCCACCCTTGATGAAGTGTCAGGGCATGGCATCATGACCTTGCTCACAAATTCAAAGACATAGAGTGCAATTTAAACTGCTTTAGAGAAGAAGGAAGTCCAGGACTTCTGTAGCCTCATACCACATTTGGTGTCAGGTGGTTTTATATCCTCACGGCCGGGTGCAGTGGCTTATACCTATAATCCCAGCACTTTGAGAGGCCAAGGTGGGAGGATCACTTGAGGTCAGGAGTTCAAGACCAGCCTGGCCAACATAGCAGAATCCCGTCTCTACTAAAAATACAAAAATTAGCCAGGTGTGGTGGTGTGCCCTGAAATCCCAGTTACTCAGGAGGCTGAGGCAGGAGGATCACTTGAACCTGGGAGGCAGAGGTTGCAGTGAGCTGAGATGGAGCCACTATACTCCAGCCTGAGTGACAGAGCCAGACTCTATCTCAAAAAAACAAAAAAGCAAAAAGACAAGAAAGAAGTATATCCTCACATAACCACAAAAGCCAGGATTTTGTTATGATGAGGGTTTAAAATGAGGATTTAACAACGCGGTCAAGGTGGCTCAGGTGCATTTGCGTGTGCAGCAATGTTCATCAGTGGTTGCGGGGGTGGAGGGGTGCCGGGGGGTGGGGGTGGGGCGGAATTAAGACTTGTCCTCAAGTCTTAACCTAGCTGCTCTCAAGTGTTTCAGAGATACTGGTAGCAATCCTGACATGCGTGATAGCGTAGTTGATATTTCTGGAAACTGTTTCTTCACAGAGGTGCCCAATACTCTGAGGAAGTAAATTGGTTTATAATACTGAGGCTTTGTTTTCAAGGCTTTCAAGCTACACAGAGCTCAGACTTCAGAAAGTTTTCCCCAACCTTGCTAGCTAGTTCACGTAGTGAGAGCTTACAAGGGAAAAAGCAAAGCCATTCTCTTTGTATCCCATGAGAGTGATCATTTGGAGCAGAACAAAGAAACATAGAAGAATCAGAGCCTCTAGGCTGAGGTCCTCAGCATACAGAATTCAAATGGAAGCAATATCAGCCTGCACTAATCAAGCTGGCCATGCTTTTGTCAGTGAGGTCACCCTCGAACCCTTAGCCTTGTGGGAGGCTGGCAACTGAGGAAGAAGCCTGCAGACATCACCCTGCATCAAGCTTCAATGGAGACGGCTGCTTAGCATAGCAGCAGCAGCATCCAGATTGTAAGGCTTACACTGGGAAGCCTTATATGCGGCAGAAGGTCAAGCAACAGAAGGGCCTCCCTGGGACTGCCGTGGCCGCAGCACTTTCCCTTTTCATTTCTAACTGCAGTTGTTCTATTTAGGTCCTCAGGTATTGAGGAAGTAGGGTGAGGGTAGTTATGTATCTAACCACACGTGCAGATGGTGTTACTCCTTCTCTCTATCCTGTTCCTTCAACATCAAAGAGAGGACCACTGTCAGACCCAAAAATTATTTTTGGGGTGCTGTGGCATTGCAGCAGGAAGTTTGCCTTACTCATTCGAGCAGAATTCAACTCTTGTGCTCTTTTGGTCCCACATTTTTATTCAGAAAAATTTCAAACCTATAGAAAAATGGAAAGACTAGTACATTGAACACCATACGCCTTTATCTAGATTTACCAATCGGTAATACTTGGCCATATTTGCTTTCCCTCTGTCTCATATGATCAAATCCCCCCTCCATCCCCCTCAAGTCATTTGACAGTAAGTGATAGACATCATGACATTTCACCCCATAAATATTTTAACCTGGATCTCTTTTTAAAATTTATTTGTAATTCGCAAGTAAAACCTGTTACATATTTATGGTGTACAACATGATGTTTTGAAGTATGTATACACTGAAATATGTAATACAATGGCTAAATCAAGTCAGGGATCTCTTACTTGTAATAACCTATCTACATTTCCTACATAACCACATACCACTACCACAAGTAAGAAAATTGACCTTCATCCTATAGAATTATATAACATATTGTCCATTTTCAAGTTTTCCCTATTTGGATCAATAATGTCTTTTATAACTGTTTTGATTGATTTACTTTCAAATCAGAATGTAATCAAGGTTAAGATGTTACATTTGGTGATTATGTTTGTCTAGTCTCTTTATCTAGAAATTATGATACTGCCTTTTTGTAGAATGCATGCTAATTCCTATAGTCTACCCCACATTCTGAATTTGTCTATTTTTGATATAATCTGACTTGCTCTTCTATGCCCTAAATTTCCTGTACACTACAAGGTGGGCTTAGACTCAGATCAAACATTTTGTCAACAATGTTTCATAGGCTGTGCTGTGTTGGGCAAACGGGTAAATGCTTCTTGTTGTTCATGCAGTCGTGCTCCTGTTAAAATGTCGTGTGCTTTGAGCTGTTGGGTGAAAGGCCAGTTCTCATGCTCATCTCCTGTCCTCTTTGCAGAATATGTGCACCATTGAAGCGGAGCTAGAGAATCTGCTGGGAGAATTCTCCATCAAGATGAAAGGTATTCTTTTCCCTGTTTAGAGAGAATAAGGAGCCATCTCTGCAGAGCGCAGAGCTCCTTAAAGTTTGAGAGCCCATGCTATTTTTATTTTCCTTGCAAAGACGCAGTGCCACCCACTCTCAACCCTCCCCACTTTTGATAGTTTACTGATGCTTCTCATGCTGAGGCTTACCTACGCACACAAAAATATTATGACAGAATCTCAAACATACACAGAAGTGGAGAGAACATTATAATGAACCCCCCATAAACCCATCACCTAGATGTAATAATTAGCAAGATTTTGCCACGTTTGCTCCATCTCTTTGCTTTTGTTTTTCCTTTGATAAAAGAGAAGTCCTTTGATGAAATAAAACCCAGATATATCAGTCTGCGGCTATACACTTCAGTATGCATCTCTTAAAGCATGGGGTTGTCATCTTACATAACCACGATGCCAAGTACTGTCACATTTTCACAGCTAACAAAAATAATAAGCCTTGGTTATTAACCCATTCCATTATCAAATTTCCCCCATTGTCTCAAAAATGCCTTGTACATTTGATTAGTTCAAATTAGGATCCAAACAAGGTCCATGCATTACAATTGGTTGTTAGGTATATCTTTTAGACTTCCTTTAATCCAAAACAAACCTCTCCCCCTCTCCACCCACTTTTTTTTTCTACCCTTGACTTGCTGTAGAAACCATTGTACGGAATGTCCCACATTCTAGCTTGTCTGTTGGCTTCTTTGTGGTGATGTTTAAATTCTTCCTTTAGCTCCCCATGTTTCTAGCAAACTAACTATGAAATTTTATAAATTTTGGTGTTAAACCCACAGAGAATTTTTCCCCTCCCAGTGCCTTTCTGGTATTTATTCTAGAAAGGTCCAAACTAGACACATGATTGAGTTATACCACAGCATCTTCAGAACAAAAACAAAGTCTGATTTTAGAAAACAGAGCATTGCTCAGGTGTTGTCAGATTTACGACTCAGTGGCCAAGCATGGCTGTCAAATGAGCGGCCATCACAGCAAGTCAATTTCTCTTCCGAGTTTTGGCCCATTTGACTGCAGCGAAGAGGGCTGGTGCTTATGCAATTCTGAGGTTTCTTAGCAGCTTGATCCCTGGGTTGCTAATGGGGATTTAATCACCCTCTTTCTACTTTCTGCAATTAAGGGAGTAAAGAAAGGAGACTTTTTTTGAAAGGGCTCGACAGGAGGGCTTCATTTTCCAATGAATCATCTAACTCAGGAGGGAAATTATTCTGTCAAGCACTAGGCACTGACATGTGAGAGCCTGTCTGAGAATACCTGGAATAAAAATGACCTTGACCCTCAGCTTCCCAAATGGCTGCATGCTTCTCTTCCGGCAGACCTGGTGGGGAATCAGTTTAATATTCAGTGTTAAATTTCAACACTTGCTTTGCTACTGAGTCTGGCATCTGTGCTTTTTTCCATTTTTTAGGTCCATTCTCTACATTTTTGGGTCCTCACTTGAGTCAGTGGTTCCAAAATCACTCAGGTCCATAGTCCCACAGTGGGCCCTGGAATTTTTATTTTAACTTTGAAGATGATTCTATCAGCAGCCTGATCGATCCTGGAAAACCACTGCCCTGAATCAGTGTTTAGCAGAAAACCTTCCCTCTACTTCCCCAACACTCAGACGCCACCCACACAGACTAGCACAGTCGCAGAGTCCCGCAGCCTAACGGTAATGCAAATCATGCACATCGCCTATCGCTGCTAATATTAATACGTACTGTATTTCTCCTATTTCTGATATTCAGTATTAACAAATGCATCTATTTTTGTGGGATGGTAATTTCCTGATTTTACATATGGGAAATAGGGGCCTAGAGAGGCTAAATAACTTGTCCCAGGAGTCACACATAAATTGGAGTCAGACAAGAAACTGAATTCCAGGGTTCTTTGTTCCTAATGCATTCCCACCTCTAACTCCATGTTATGAGGGAAGTTCAGAGCTGAGCAGACAACATAAACCATTGCTCAAAGAATGGTCTCCTTTATGGGCAGATCCTCTTCAACCTAGCACAGAGGCACGCACGCTGGGAGTGGGATGGGAGGAAAGGGACCACCCTCGGACCAGATCTGGAGCTTCAGGCTTGGTGGTCAGTGAGGGGATGATGCTGGAGTCCCTGCCGCCTACTGGGGTACCTGGCCACCCTGCTACATCACAGCCCTGATGGGCTGATGAACTTGCTGTGGCTCCCACTCCTCTGTCTCCCCCTCTCTCTGTTGTTCTTGCTCTCCTGCCTGATCTTCCTGAGAGTCTACTTGAACACTTGGTTTCTTCCATGGGGTTTTTCAGGCCTGAAACGGAATCTCCTTCCTCGTTGATAGACTCTTGTCTCCTCCACTGTCCTCATCTAACATGCAAATTCAGAAACTACATCTGTGAAGCCTTTCAAGGGTAAACGCCCCCATGGAAATCTTTCTCTTCCTCCATAAAGAGAAAGGGAAACCTTCTCATGCTGCCAAGAAATCCTATTGTCTTTGCAATCAGCTGCTTTCTCATCTGTTATTCATTCTGGTAAAAACTACTTCCAACATACATATTGACAAACTGAGAGTATGTCATAATACTCTCAGACCCAGCAACCCCCAACTTCCTTGCACCACACCCTTCCTCACTTCCCTTTTGCCCCACCCTCAACACTAGACAACAACTTTTTGAGGTAGTGATGTTAAAGAGAATAGAGCAAGTACTTACCAAGTGCCTGCTATTGGCTAGGCACTAGACTGCATTCTGATGACTGGTCCCTGGCCTTGAGTTCCACATGGTCTACCAGAGAAAAGGGACATATGAGGCTGTGCATTCTCATCCAATGGAATGAATGACCACCTGAACAACAGTGTGACCCAGTTTGCTACAGAAGCAGGAGGGGAGAGGAGGAAAAGGTTGCCACTCACCTCTCTAGGTGGAGAGGAGAGCAGGAAAGAGGAAGGCTTCCCAGTGTAATATATGGTGAACAGCACCAGAATAGCATTCACCAAACAGAGGAAAGCCTGTTCAGAGGTGACAAGTAGACCGGTGTGGCTGATGTGCTTGTCGGGAGAAGAGCTATGGAGAATTAGTTGGGTCTTGATTATAAAAATCCATGAATGCCAGGCCGAATGGAGAGCACTTAATCTGCAAACTATCAAACAGGATGGAGGTAAAGAGATGTAGTTCCTTAGAGCAAACTAGTTCTCCAAATTATTACTTGGTTCAAATGAAGTTCCAGGCAGTGTATATATCCAGTCTCTGCTGGTCCTTACAGTTTCCAGGGCAGATCAACATTCCTGAGAAGGAAGAACCACCACTGAGCTAGTAAACTTGCATTATTTATGCCTAGTCAATAAATCAGTAAGGCCTGTAATAGGAGCTCCTGACTGTATAGCTACTTGGTTGGTTGTCTTAAAGTAGGAAGTGTGAAGGGAGAAATGATGGAGAGTGTTCTGGCAGAATGGTGTCTGAGCAAAGGAAGGCAGGCAAGAGTAGGCAGCTGCTGTAACACCCTCCAAACGAGGCTGTGGAAGAGGTATTAGATCAGTAATATGTGAGTACCATGAAACATCCAAAGGTATGACCCCTGCAAGCCCCCCATGCCCACCCTCAGAGGTAACCCCCATGCTGGGTTTTTGAGTGAAAGCTAGAAAGCTTTCATTAAGCTTTCTAGATCATGCACTAGTAATCACAAACTGTTGAGAAAACTTGCAGCTTTCTCTAACCGTGAAAATGCCAGCAGGCCCCCAGACAAGAGCCTGAAAGAAACCTGGCCAGGCCTCAAAGACAGACTGTAACTGTCATTGCCCCACTGTTAGTGCTAATTCCGTGGCCAGTACCACCAGTGGCTTACACTGCAGACAGAACTTTAAGAAGCACGGCACAAAAGCTGTTTGTGCCTAGATAGTGCCATTGTGCTACATTATTGCTACAGTCAGAGGATTAGTGATGCCACTACAGCAGTTCCAAGAAATTTTGCTTAGTAACGTGGGCTGAGATGTGAAAAACACATCACTACCAAGTACCTTTCTCATATTCAGTTTTCTTCAGATATAAAATTTCTGGTAATTTTAAAGGTGGGGAAACAAACACCTTCAAAGGATTTCCCCTTTATCCACCTTTATCTAGTAACAATGCCAGATCAGTTTCTTTTCAACCAGTCTTCCATTGTAATTACATAAATAAACAGACAATAAATTAATCCTGAACTAATTTGCAGAGGTTTTGTTTTGTTTTTGAGACAAAGTCTTGCTGTGTCACCCAGGCTGGAGTGCAGTGGCACCATCTCGTTCACTGCAACCTCTGCCTCCTGGGTTCAAGCGATTCTCATGCCTCAGCCTCCAGAGTAGCTGGGATTACAGATGCCCACCATCACACCTGGCTAATTTTTGTATTTTTAGTAGAGACAGGGTTTCTCCATGTTGGCCAGGCTAGTCACGAACTCCTGACGTCAGGTGATCCGCCCACCTCAGCCTCCCAAAGTGCTGGGATTACAGGTGTGAGCCACCGTGCCTGGCCAATTTGCAGAGGTTTTTAAAGAGTACTTTGGATTGTATTAGAATTAGCATGTCCAGTTTAGGATTTACAAAAGCCAGTCGATTGTACTTTCTTTCAGAAGTATTTTTTTAAAAGACTAACTAAATGCTCCAGAAAATTATTAGTGGAATATAAACTTCTTCAATTCTGCTCTTATTTCAGTAAGTCTTTTTAAGTGGCTTGTTGTGTTCTAATTATTAGTGAAAGCTGTTCTTAAATGTACTGGCTCCACGGGCAGGAAGGCACGGACGAGCTGGTGAGTTGCTGCCACCTACTGACAAGTGATGGTAACAGCACGTGTTTTTTTTTTAAGCATCCGGGAACCTTTTTTGCTGTCAGCTTACCCATGCAATGTCCATCAGTCAGGTGAAAGTAGAAGCATTCATTTAAGACTCTCAACTTAATTGGGTTTTTTGCTTTGTTTTGTTTTTTGAGTCGAGGGTCTCGCTCTGTCACACAGGCTGGTGGAGTTCAGTGGCTCACTGCTGCCTCAAACTCCTAACCTCAAGCAATCCTCCTGCCTCAACCTCCTGAGTAACTGGGACCATGGGCGCACGCCACCATGACTGGCTAATTTTTAAATTTTTTGTAGAGATAGGGTCTCACTATGTTGCCCAGGTTGGTCTCAAACTCCTGGGCTCAAGTGATACTACTGCCTTGATGTCCCAGAGCACTGGGATCACAGGTGTGAGCCACCATGCCTGGCCAAGAATCTCCAGCGTACTAACAGGGCTATTCATAGAAGGCAAAACACATTGTGTGATACCACCCACAGCATCTTTATATGGGTAAAATCACGTTTAAATAAATATATAAACAACCTTTGTGTTATAAATAGTGTTATAAATGGCAAAGATTATAAATAGCAACTCAAGGAGGCTGAGGTACTAAGGGACCCATTTGTCATATGGACATCTTTGTGTGGGAACAGTCTAGGACTCACAGCTGTTTCTGGTCCAGCTCCTCCAAATTATTTCCTCGGACTGCCTCTAAAAAAGTCACTGGGTAAACAGGGAGGAACTGTTCGTGTCTTCTTCAATCTTGACGTAAAGACTTTGAAAGTAGTACCTTCTTGTTTTTTTAAAACATTGAGAAATATAACCAAAAAATTAAAATCATATATAATCGTTCCACCCAGTGCTAAGCTTTATTAAAATTATTAAAATATCCAACCAACTTTTCTGTGTGTACACACTGCCTGCCAAGGTGTGTGATCTTTTTTACATCTTTTTTCTGTATTACAAAATAAGTATATGATCTTTTTAAAAATCAAATAAAAATTATCACTTAATGACAAAAATTTAACTTTCTCCTTAATTCTACCCTACCAGAGATCATTATTTTTTAACAGTTTGGTATGGTTTTCTAGACTTTCTTCCCCGGGGATCCATTTATATATAGCTGAGGTTATACTCTATGTAAGATTTTGTGTCCTTCCTTTTTTTTTTTTTTTTTTTTTTGAGACGGAGTCTGGCTCTGTTGCCAGGCTGTAGTGCAGTGGTGTGATCTCGGCTCACTGCAGCCCCCACCTCCCAAGTTCAAGTGATTATCCTGCCTCAGCCTCCCAAGTAGCTGGGACTACAGGTACCCACCACCACACCCAGCTAATTTTTGTATTTTTAGTAGAGACGGGGTTTCACCATGTTAGCCAGGATGGTCTCAATCTCTTGACCTCGTGATCCACCTGCCTCGGCCTCCCAAAGTGCTGGGATTACAGGTGTGAGCCACCGCACCCAGCTACCTTTTTTCTTTTTATACTTAATATTACATTATAAATCTTGCCTTTAACTAAAAGTTCACTACAAATATTTGTACTGAATTCTTTGCTTGTTTTTTTGGATTTTTTCTGAAATAGAGTCTCGCTCTGTCATGCAAGCTTGAGTGCAGTGGCGTGATCTCTGCTCACTGCAACCTCTGCCTCCAGGGTTCAAGCGATTCTCCTGCCTCAGCCCCCGAAAAGCTAGGATTACAGGCAAGCACCACCCTGCCAGGCTAGTTTTTGTATTTTTAGTAGAGACAGGGTTTCTCCATGTTGGCCAGGCTGACTTGGAACTCCTGACCTCAGGTGATCTGCCCGCCTCAGCCTCCTAAAGTGCTGGGATTACAGGCGTGAGCTACCACATCCAGCTTGTACTGAATTCTTTTTTTTTTTTTTTTTTTTTTGAGACGGAGTCTCGCTCTGTCACCCAGGCTGGAGTGCAGTGGCCGGATCTCGGCTCACTGCAAGCTCCACCTCCCGGGTTCCCGCCATTCTCCTGCCTCAGCCTCCGGAGTAGCTGGGACTACAGGCGCCCGCCACCTCGCCCGGCTAGTTTTTTGTATTTTTTAGTAGAGACGGGGTTTCACCGTGTTAGCCAGGATGGTCTCGATCTCCTGACCTCGTGATCCGCCCGTCTCGGCCTCCCAAAGTGCTGGGATTACAGGCTTGAGCCACCGCGCCCGGCCTGTACTGAATTCTTAACTGGAAATCTTATAAGACTTTATTTTTTTCCTTCAAAAAAATTTTAAAGGATAAAGATTTTTAACCATTTTTATTAAATTTGTTTGGTTCCTTGAATAAAACTTTTAGTCTTTAGGCCCCAATGAATGTAAAGGGCTTTGCTTTGTGATTGGCACGAAAACAACTTAACAGCTGACTAAAGCCAGAAACAACTGATTAAAGTAAAGCTGGGTCACTGACAAGCCTCTGTTGATGAGATTAGTTTCCTCATTTGCTATGCACATGTGACTAGCACACCTTCCTCCTCACACCTTTATTCATGCTTGACACAGTAGACATTCAAGAAACATTGTTGAATACACACATGTCATTCACTCAGCCTGGAAGTATCTGTACACCCATGTCCTCATTTTACTGTGGTGAAACTTTGTTATTCAAATGCTGCTTTCTTCTATGAAACTATTCTACATTAAATAAGATAGTCTCTGTTTTTTCATTTTAATTATATAGTAATACATTCTCATAAAAATACAGAAAAAAGCAAAGATCTCTTTCTGTCTCTCCACTGCTGTTTCCCTCCCTGATGCATATCAGTTTACTGTGTGGTTTCTTTTCTCTTCTCCTCTCTTCTCCTCTCTTCTCTTCTCTTCTCTTCTCTTCTCTTCTCTTCTCTTCTCTTCTCTTCTCTTCTCTTTCCTTTTTGAGACAGAGTCTCACTCTGTTACCGAGGCTGGAGTGCGGTAGTGGAATCACGGCTCACTATAGCCTAGACCTCCTGGGCTCAAGCGATCCTCCCACCTCAGCCTCCGAGCAGCTGGGACTGCAGACATGCACCACCACACCTGGCTAATTTTTTTTTCTTTTTAGTAGAGATGAGGTCTCACTATGTTGCCCAGGCTTGTCTTGAACTCCTGAGCTCGAGTCATCCTCCTGCCTTGGCCTCCCAAAGTGCTAGGATTATAGGAGGGAGCCAATATGCCAGCCTTGTGTCTTTTCATATAGATTACATCTTTCATTAAATAGTAGATGGCATGTACTCAATAAATAGTATTATCCCACTCTTGGATATATCATCATTACCACGTATTAAGGACCTACCATGTGTAAGATGCCATCTGTTGTTGTTACAAACAATTCTATGAAGTGGACACTGTTATCCTATTTTAAAGGTGAAGAAACTTGGGTTACGTAAATTTTCTAGAGTAGGATAGCCAGTAGACAAACAAATTAACCTCAGGTGTAACTCCATCTTACTGTCTGCAAGTCTTTGTTTCATTTCTGTGGGCTTTAACCGTATTTTGTTCTATATCATGGGGATCCATATAATCTTTAATTTCCAAATTATTACCCCAATGCCTAGCATAGACCCTTACATACAGCAGACTCTCAGTAAATATCTACAAAAGGAAAGAAAAAGACTGGACAAACCCAGTATTCCTGAGATGGCCTCAGATGGTGACCATCTAGTCTGATAAGATTTGTTTTTGCTGCTGCACCAGAGACAGATCTCAAACTGAGCAGATCCAGTTAGACGTGACTTGCTGGATGGCACAGTAGAAGTCCCATCTTTCTTTTGGGGGTGTATCATTTGGTTGGTTGGATTGATTTTGTTTTCTTAATCACTAGCTTTGTGTAAGTAATAATCCATTTTCAGGGATTTCATAACAGCAAATTGTATCATTATACCAGATTAAAAGGATAAAGAAAACATCAGAATGAGTAAATTGGAGGGCAGCAAGGGAAATAACTGCATGGAATCTTAACTCAAATGGGAGGCACCTAAAAATTACACATTTTAGGACAGAAGGGAAAATAGGAGACCAGATTATCTTCATGGGAATATGTTGGATAAATAAATAAATCTTTCTGGCCCTAATACCCTAACCCTGGAATCTGCTTGGATCTTAAATCAGCCCAAGATGTACTGAGCTCTAGCTCCCCCTCTTGCCCAGCCTCCCCTACCTTGGAAACCACCTCTTCCATCACTTCATCCAGGAATGTCTTCTTTACCTGTGATAGAAGGAACTCCCCCAAAACCGTTGTTCCCCAGGAATGGCCCCAAAAAGTGTCATGTGAGTTTGCACAAAGTTCTGACACTTCACCTGAATTCTTTTCAACATGCCAGTATGTGTCTATAGAGAGGGGAAATAATGTTCTACACCTCACTTTCCAATTGCTTGGTTCCAGGTCTGGCTGGATTTGCGCGCCTCTGTCCTGGAGATCAATATGAAGTAAGTATTGTCTTGGTCTGGGTGCTGGAATTACGGACCTGAAGGGTAGGGGCCAGTTGTCATGTCATTTTGCTTCTCAAGTTGTCTTTTTTTTTTTTAATTTTTCATTTTGAAAAACATTTTAAGCCAATGAGAAAGTCTGGAAACGGGTACAGGACTTCCCATAAACCCTTCATCTAGATTCACCACTTTGTAACATTATGCTACATTTGCTCTGTCATCATCATTATTGCTGTCATTGTTACTATTATTTTGCTGAACCATTTTATTTATTTTTATTTATTTATTTTTGAGATGGAGTCTCACTCTGTTGCCCAGGCTGGAGTGCAGTGGCATGATCTCAACTCACTGCAACCTCTGCCTCCTGGGTTGAAGCGATTATCCTGCCTCAGCCTCCAGAGTAGCGGGAACTACAGGCACCCGCCACCACACCCGGCTAATTTTTTGTGTGTTTTTAGTAGAGATGGGGTTTTACCATGTTGGCCAGGCTGGTCTCAAACTCCTGACCTCAAGCAATCCCCCCGCCTTGGCCTCCCAAAGAGCTGGGATTACAGGTGTGAGCCACCGCGCCTGGCCCCTGAACCATTTTAGAGCAAGATGCAAACACCAGGACTCTTTATCCCTAAATTCTTCTTCTAAGAATGGAAGGACATTCTCTCACATAGGCATTACTAAGCCCTCAACACCAGTGAGTTTAAGATTGGCTCTTCAGCTAACGTCACCTGGAATTAGTCTATGTTCATATTTTGCCAGATGTTCCAATATTGTACTAGGTAAGCAGGGTTTGTTTGTTTTTTTTCCTGATCCAAGAGCCAATCCAGGATCATGGCTGATCATAAGTACCATGACTGAAGAAAAATAACATCTAGATCTTTCTTTGTAAAAATGTGCTCCAAAAAGTAAAAATAGGCTTTGTTCCTTTCCCTCTTCAAAAGGAAACTTACATAACCATTTCATCTGACATCTCCTCCAAAACCCTCTGTACTCATACCTCTTAAAGCAGGGGTGAGGGTATATCTTCCCTTAAACATTAAAGCAGTCTGACCAAGGAAATATTGCAAACCTTCCCCCAAGAGTATGTTGGATTTCAAAGTTCTTGCCAGCTCCATCTCCCTATCCAGAATAAGGATGTCTTTATTTCTTGCTTAAGAGGGTTTTAGCTGATACTTACTCCTCTCGCTAAAGGAGCTGGGTTATGTGAAGAATTAATCCCAGTGGCTGCTCTGTTCAAGCAGAACTAACAAGAGAGAGAACTGCTTGGCATGAGTGAGCAGAAGGGCACCATGCAGTGACCTTTTACTACAGAAAACCTGTACCCCCTGTATCTCAGACAGGCAGAACTTACTGTGCTTTAAAAGTCTCGGGCCAGGCATGGTGGCTGTTGCCTGTAATCCTAGCACTTTAGGAGGCCAAGGCAAGTAGATCACCTGAGGTCAGGAGTTTGAGATACCAGCCTAGCCAACATGGTGAAACCTCGTCTCTACTAAAAATACAAAAATGAGCTGGGCATGGTGGCACATGCTTGTAGTCCCAGCTACTTGGGAGGCTGAGGCAGGAGAATCGCTTAAACCCTGGAGGCAGAGGTTGCAGTGAGCCAAGATCATGTCATTGCACTCCAGCCTGGGCAACAGAGCGAGACTCCATCTCAAAAGAAAAGAAAAAAAGTCTCTTCCCCACTCATCCCCAGCTCCACCCACACCCAAGAGTAAGGGGGTGGAGGGAGAGTGAGGGAGAAGGGGAGGGCGGCAGTGGCGTTAGTTCTGTCTCCTTTTGATCTTGGTGTTCTGGTGGAGAAGGGGGCATGGCAAGACATGAAGGCCCTTGGATGTCTCCTCTCCAGATTTTCATGAAGTATGGCCGGCAGCGGTGGAAACTGAAAGGCAAAATAGAAGTAAATGGCAAGCAGAGCTGGGATGGAGAAGAAACAGTTTTTCTGCCCCTGATAGTTGGGTTCATCTCCATCAAGGTACAGTATTGTCATTGCCTGTTGTCTTTCATGGTGCCACAGCTGGATGATCTATTGGTGGGACCTTTACCCGTGACCCCTGCCTGTCACCCCTCCATCCCACGGACTTCTCTGCACTACAAGTCCACTACAAAGACTGTTGCTCTCACATCAGAGTAGGTAAAGTCAATCTAAGATACACTTTTGAAATATCCACCTCTGGCCAGGCATAGTGTAGTGGCTCACACCTGTAATCCCAGCACTTTGGGAGGCTGAGGTGAGTGGATCACGTGAGCCCAGGAGTTGGAGACCAGCCTGGCCAACATGGCAAAACCCCATCTCTACAAAAGTACAAAAATTAGCCAGATGTGGTACGTGTGCCTGTAGTCCCAGCTACTTGGGAGTCTGAGGCGGGAGGATCACCTGAGCCCAGGAGGTCAAGGCTGCAGTGAGCCATGATCACACTACTGCACTATAGCCGGGGTGACAGAGAGAGACCCTGTCTCCAAAAAGAAAAAACAAAATCCACTTCCAATTTCAGATATGATTCTGAAAGAAATGACCAACCTAGCTCAGTAAAAAAAATGACACATTATCCTACCTTTCTCCTCTGCTGTGATGTAAGGCCTTTCCCCTCCCACTCTCTCTGCTAGGTCACAGAGCTCAAAGGGCTGGCAACTCACATCCTGGTAGGTAGCGTGACCTGTGAGACCAAAGAGCTGTTTGCAGCCCGACCTCAGGTGGTGGCTGTCGACATCAATGACCTTGGCACCATCAAACTGAACCTGGAAATCACCTGGTAGTAAGTGCCTCTTCCTCTTTTATCTCTTCATATAGGAATATCTGATACGGGCTAGTGCTATTCAAAGCTGGCGCATGGACCATCTGCATCACCAGGGAGCTTGTTAAAAAAGCAGAATCTTGGGCCCCACCCCAGAACTACTGTGGCAGGATTGCTCAGGCCCCAGAATCTGTTTAACAAACTCCCCGGGTGAGGTGCACGCGTGTTAAAGTTGGAGAAGCCTGGATCATATCACCAATCGCCTCTTCTACTTTCTATTTTAAAATATTTTTTCTGTCACCTTCCTTCCCTCTCTACCTTTCAATATATAAGAGAATATGTCCTCTCAAGTAAACTAATTTGAAAGAAAATATCTGTCCAATAGGAGGTACTTTGACCTCAGAAAAATCCTGATTCTCACTATGATGCTTTAAATGCTTATTCCTCTTTATTGCATAACTTCATGCTGCTCTGGAAAATTATGAGTATCCTTAGTTCCTCTGCACTGTATTTACTGAAATAGAACATCCCCAAAGGGCAAGAGATATCTTTTTTCAAAACAATGAACTTAGAAATGGTTTTCCAAAGTCACCCAGTGAGAAAGGTCATGATAAGTTATTAACACCAGTAGCGCCGGGCGCGATGGCTCACACCTGTAATCCCAGCACTTTGGGAGGCCAAGGAAGGTGGATCACCTGAGGTCAGGAGTTCGAGATGAGCCTGGCCAACATAGTGAAACCCCATCTCTACTAAAAATACAAAAATTAGCCGGGCATTATGGCAGGCACCTGTAATGCCAGCTACTCGGGCGGCTGAGGCAAGAGAATCGCTTGAACCGGGAGGCAGAGGTTGCAGTGAGCTGAGATCGTGCCATTGCACTCCAACCTGGGCAACAAGAGGGAAACTCCATCTCAAAAAAAAAAAAAAAAAAGAAACCCCCAATAGTAGTTCACAATATTTAATGTAATGCCCCTGGTATATTGCTGAGTTGACATGTTAAGTATTCATACTCAGGGTCTCATTTACAATATAGAAAGCCAGGTGTGGAAGCAGCAAAGACACTCTTGCCTCGTCATCATCAGCACGCGTTACCCAGCCCTTCCCTCCCCACAATCTGCAGTCATTGACGTCTCACATGCAAGATCATTCTTCTTGCTGGATGAATCAGGTGCCATGATATTAAGTGGCATCATGGTGAACAGACTGTTATCCTCTTCCCACACAAGAGGCTCTGTGTCAACTGAAATGAATGGGATTCTATTTTTGAGTGTTTTCTTTAGAACAGAACAATAGTCTGTCGATGTCTTATACCATTAAGGTATCTAGCCCCACAAAGTTCAGATAATTTTTATAGACTTTTCAACATCTTGTTTTGTCGAAGCAAGCATTCATAAGTTTGTGTTTCTAATGTTAGTGAGGAACGGGTGTATCTAAGTGTATAGATAAATTGTGCTTAGAGCTGTGATAATATTCTGGGGTCCCTTGGGTGAGTCTAGACTCAGTTTTCTGCTCCACTTTTCTTTTATCCATGTTTATTTTCTGCAAACCAGTTTAGCTAAAACCAGCCCAGTTCCCACAGGTTGAGTTTACTTTTATGTAATGAGGTACTCTCTCAGCCTGTGGTCTGTTGATGATAGGTGATTTTACCAAATGTGCATACATGGGGTCCTGTTGTTTTGCAGTCCATTTGACGTGGAGGACATGACCGCATCCTCAGGCGCTGGGAACAAGGCGGCAGCCCTTCAGAGGAGAATGTCCATGTACAGCCAGGGTACCCCGGAAACGCCCACCTTCAAAGACCACTCCTTTTTTGTAAGTTCAGTGTAATTTCCCGAGTAGAATCAATGCACCTGAGCCAGTGCTTGCACCCAGCATTTGAAATGCTTGAGAGACAGTGCTGGGAGTTCTCAGTAATTCTATCAGAGGTGGTAAGCCTCCTGTTTTTCCTCTCTCCTTGCCCACCTTACCTATTGCTGTGATGCTAACATGTAGATTTTTCTGAACATTCTCTAAGATCAGCCTTTTAAAGAAGTTGATATAAATAATAGCCGCTTGTTTTAATCAAAAATGCTCGCTAAAAAGCTAACAAAACATAGTAACCTGATTCTTCCCACTAACTCCCCCATCTTGCTTTCACTTCTGAAGAGGTGGCTGCATCCTTCCCCAGACAAGCCAAGGCGGCTGTCTGTCTTGAGTGCCTTGCAAGACACTTTCTTTGCCAAGCTGCACCGCAGCCGCTCCTTCAGTGACCTGCCCTCCCTCAGGCCGAGTCCCAAGGCCGTGCTAGAGCTCTATGTGAGTGTGGCCTGCCGGGTATGGAGTGCTTGACTTTGGGGGGGCTTGTGGCATGTGTGACTCAGCATGTCTCTTGTTTTATCTGCTCTGTCTTGCTCACTGGGTAATAGTTACAGCTGTACTGTCCTTGGGGTGGGAAACTTGGTCGTGCATGTAACTTTGATAGAGACACAGTTTGTCGTTCTCTTCTAATAATCCCTGTTTTTGTGCTGTGATTTTTCTCCATTGTGGCAAAGATATCCATGGTAACAAGATTTTAAACAAGTTTAAGCCTTTCAAAAACTGGCATTCGGTCCAGCATGGCGGCTCACACCTGTAATCCCAGCACTTTGGGAGGCTGAGGTGGGTGGATCACTTGAGCTCAGGCGTTCAAGACCAGCCTGGCCAACATAGTCAAACTCCGCCTCTACTAAAAATACAAAAAGTAGCCGGGAGTGGAGGCATGTGCCTGTAGTCCCAGCTACTTGGGAGGCTGAGGTGAGAGGATCACTTGAACCCAGGAGGCAGAGGTTGCAGTGAGCCGAGATGGTGCCCTTGCACTCCAGCCTGGGCAACAGCAAACTCCATCTCAAAAACAAAAACAAAAAAAATTGGCATTCAAGGAACTCAGAAGGATTTCAATGAGTTTTACTAGAGCTACTTCTATTTGAAAGCTTCTCCGTCTTAGTTTATTATAATGTTTGTTAATTTTATAACACTTTGACAAAAAGAAATCCTTAATTCGCAGTCAGGAATACAATAAGTATTATGTAGTACACATTATGTCATGAGAGGATACACACACACACATGCATGCACATGCACATGCATGGAACATCCTGCTCTTCACAGACGTATAAAAGGAAGCTTTGAGTGTCAGCAGAGGAAAGGATTAAAAGTCTTCGAGTTAATAATAATAATAGTTGCATCTTTTTCATTGAATTAAAAAATGCCGGTGAAGGCTGAACATGGTGGCTCACACCTATAATCCTAGCACCTTGTGAGGCCAAGGCAGGTGGATTGCTTGAGCCCAGGAGTTCAAGACCAGCCTGGGCAACAAAGTGAGACCCTGTCTCTACAAAAAATTTAAAAATTACCCTGGTGTGGTTGTACACACCTGTGGTCCCAACTACCCAGGAGACTGAAGCAGGATGATCATTAAAGCCCAGGAGGTTGAGGCTGCAGTGAGTTATTGCATGACTGCAGTCCAGTCCGGAAAGCAGAGCAAGACCTTGTCTCAAAAGGCAGGTGAAAAGGACCAGGCTAAACTCTGGTGGACTTTTATTTTTTTTATTTTTTTTATTTATTTATTTTTTTGAGACGGAGTCTTGCTCTGTCACCCAGGCTGGAGTGCAGTGGCCGGATCTCAGCTCACTGCAAGCTCCGCCTCCCGGGTTTACACCATTCTCCTGCCTCAGCCTCCCGAGTAGCTGGGACTACAGACGCCCGCCACATCGCCCGGCTAGTTTTTTGTATTTTTTAGTAGAGAGGATGGTCTCGATCTCCTGACCTTGTGATCCGCCCGTCTCAGCCTCCCAAAGTGCTGGGATTACAGGCTTGAGCCACCGCGCCCGGCCCTCTGGTGGACTTTTAAAGGAAAATGGGAAGAATATATGGGGGAAATACACACGAAAACATGAACCAAAACACAAAGAGCTAACACAGCTGTACACGCAACCATTACCATAACATGTATATTCATGCTCATGTGCTACAGGTTGAGGGTTGTGGGTGAGAGTTGGTAGAGGTTTCATGTCATAATTTAAATAAGAACAAGGTTAGAAAACAACTGGATGATTTTCCTGATAAAGCCTTTTAGATAAATGCAAAGGTCCTCAGAGCGGCTGTTCCCATCTCGCTACAGCCCACCACAAGCCCATCTCACTTTTCCACTCTCTGTCCTCTGCTGGGGCCCCTTGGAGCTTCTCAGTGTCCTCGAAATGCACCACCTCTTTTCAGGAGCTCATGTCTTCGCATGTTGTTCCTTCTAGAATGCACTTCCTCTGGTGCCTGCCCCCTACCTCACCATCCTCCACATTAAGCTCCAGGACTGGCTCTTTCTCAGGCAGCAGCCACCCCCTTATTGGAGCCCTTCCCTCGTGATGTCATCCCTCAGTTACAGCATGCACACCATTGTACTGTTGTGTGCTCATTGTTAGGCTCGTCCCCTTGGTAGACTGCAAGTCCCCTTGGGCAGGGCATCTCGATTTATTCTCACCAAATATTTGCCACTTAAGTAGGTGGAAGTTGGGCTTGAGTCTTGGAGTCTCAAGAGAAATGGCTGGGAAGGACTTTGGAATTGGAATAAGAATCCTGACAACCCAATCTCTCCGCCATACCCAGTGTCTCCCACCTCCCTCGGTGCTGCCATGAGATGTGTGCACAGATCAGATGAGGCTCAGTGGGACCATGTGGAGGACCCACAGGTTCTAGAAGCCTAAGGGACCCCCATGGATGAGGTCTAGGGAGAAGGCTCCAGGCATCCCTCATCCCTCCCCTAAAAGATTCCTTTTATCTTTCCTAGAGACATAAGGTGTGTATGAGGTGGGGGGTGCAAATACGTGAGGGAAGAAACTGAAATACACAAGCTGGGAGGGGAGGAAGAGGAGCACCAGAGCCCAACACCCCAACAACATTGTGGACCACAGCTCAGTAATCACTCACAGAGTAAAACATCCTCAGTTTTGGAGGTAAAGAGACTGAGCTTGTAGAGGTTACTCAAGTGTCCAGTGACACATCATTTTACTCGCCTGCAGTTAAAGTAAATCGCCTTCCAACCATGCTACAACAATGGACAGTTTGGGTGGAACGAACTGCATGTGTCAGGATCTCATGGCCTCAGATGCAGCAGCAGTGGGACCAGGGAGCCAGCTGGAGGAGGACGGGGAGCCTTTATCTTCCTGTCTGTTCGTCACTGCATTTGCTGTAACATTTTTATTTGCCGGACTTATTCCCAGCAAATTTTGAGAATTTGTCAATTTCTATATAATTAAAACAATTATTAGCATAATACTTACCATTTATTTACTTCAAAAACCGAATCTGGAATCTGAGAAAATTAACCATTTTGGGCCGGGTGTGGTGGCTCACGCCTGTAATCCCAGCACTTTGGGAGACTGAGGCAGGCGGATCACCTGAGGTCAGGAGTTTGGGACCACCCTGACCAACATGGTGAAACCCTGTCTCTACTTAAAAAAAAATACAAAAATTAGCTGGGCATGGTGGCGCATGCCTGTAGTCCTAACTACTTGGGAGGCTGAGGCAGGAGAATCACTTGAACTTGCACTCCAGCCTGGGCAACAAGAGTGAAACTCTGTCTCAAAAAAAAAAAAAAGAAAGAAAAATTAACCATTTTGAAGAGGTTAATCTCAATAACTAAAAAGCCCTTTCCACAGAACAGCATTTGGCATTTAGGCATTATACACAGACCACAGCACAAGGAGAGCTGACTTAGAAATGGAAATGCCTGAATAAATGAATGATCTTGGTTACCTGGATATTTCTGACCTCTGCCTTCAGAGTTCTGCTTCATGAAGCACAGGGCGTACCTGTGACACCACCCGCGTCTGCTTGACAGATGACTCGGTGTTTCTAGGCAGCCTGAGAGCCCTGGGGTGTACCTCCTGCAAGATTGATGTTCCATTTATTGGTCTTTTCCTCTTATTTCTAGAGAAGTTATGCAAATGTATGGCTGGCCTTGAATTATTTATGGCATGGTTACTAAATTAATAAAACATTTTCCAGAGCTTGGGATTTGTGGGTAGAGATTTTCAAAGGAATAATTTTTGAGAATTGAAGCAGAACAAAACATCACATCTTTGGAAATAAATTGCATGGACGTTGGAAAGTTTTTTAAGATAGTTGCCTAAATAGAAAAAGGAATTGGTAATGTTATTCATAACTATGGCTGCCAAATATTATGAGCTCTTGGAATTCAGAAAACAAGCCCCCTCCCCCCATGCAACCTTTTCTTTTGAAAAATGTCAAACCTTGAGACGATTGGCATGAACTTTCACCTAGATTCAACAATAGAAACAGTTCTTGATGGTCTGTTTTCTTTTGCCAGCCACACAGACACACACACACACACAGAGGCATCAACAAATAAAATGCTAATATTCTGAAAGTTCTGGGTATTTTCATTGTAATTGTCTTACACTCTGTCTGGAAATAAACCATGCCAAGCCAAATGCGTCATTTGTATTGAAAATAATAATGAGGTATCTTTTATCTACAGTCGAATCTACCTGATGACATCTTTGAAAATGGAAAGGCAGCCGCGGAGAAAATGCCACTGTCGCTCAGCTTCAGTGACCTGCCCAACGGGGACTGCGCCCTCGCCTCCCACTCAACAGGCTCCCCTTCCAACTCAACAAATCCAGAAATTACCATCACCCCTGCGGAGTTTCACCACAGCAGCCGGGCCTCCCAGAATGAGGGTTTGGATGACACCAGCTCAGCATCTTCCAGGAACTCCTTGGGAGAAGGCCAAGAGCCAAAATCACACCTGAAGGAGGAAGACCCAGAGAAGCCCAGGAAACCTGCCTCGGCCCCATCTGAGGCTTGCCGCCGACAGTCCTCAGGTGCTGGGGCTGAGCACCTGTTCCTTGAGAATGATGTTGCAGAGGCACTTCTGCAAGAGTCCGAGGAGGCCTCTGAGCTCAAGCCTGTGGAACTGGACACTTTGGAAGGAAACATCACGAAGCAGCTGGTCAAGAGGCTCACATCTGCAGAGGTGCCAGTGGCCACAGACAGGGTGCTCTCAGAGGGCTCTGTCGGGGGAGAATCCGAAGGCTGCAGATCCTTTCTAGATGGAAGCTTAGAGGATGCTTTTAATGGGCTTTTCCTTGCATTAGAACCACATAAAGAGCAGTATAAAGAGTTTCAGGATCTGAACCAAGAAGTCATGCATTTGGATGATATTCTAAAAGTAAGTACCTTTTCAGAGAAATTGGATTAGGTTTGGAGAGAAGTGTCCTAAGCCAACATTCTGTTTAAGATGTGGTATCATTTAAAAAAAAGTCCTGTCCAGGCTGGGCGCGGTGGCTCACGCCTGTAATCCCAGCACTTTGGGAGGCCTAGGAGGGCAGATCATTGGAGGTAGGAGATGGAGAACATCCTGGGCTAACACCGGGAAACGCCCATCTCTCACTAAAAAATACAAAGAAAATTAGCCTGGCGGTGTCGCGCCGCAGCCGTGGGCTGGGGCCGTAGTCCCAGCTACTTGGGCGAGGCTGAGCAGGACAATGGCATGAACCCAGGAGCGGAGCTTGCAGTGAGCAGATATCGCGCCACTGCACTCCAGCGCTGGGCGACAGAGCAAGACTCCGTCAAAAAAAAAAAAAAAAAAAATTCTTGGTCCGAATCATAGAATTAATAGGTCATCATCATTTTAAATGGCACTAATATGCCAGTAGTACATACTAAGTTTTATTTTCCTGACAACAGATCAACTTATCTAAATTGATTAGGATTTTTAAATCCTAATCCTCAAAGAGCTCTAGAGAATGTTGAAATTCCCCCAGTCCCCAAGTGAATCATTCTAATCCCATATGTGAAATAGTGGCACTTTGATGATTACAGTCTCACAGGCGTTACTGGATAGGATCCCTCTCAGGGGGTGGGGAAAGCAGGGAGCCCTTTCCCTGATTGGAGTCAGAGTAATCCAGTTCCATTGTGAGAGCCATGAGCCACTGCCTACTGGAGGAGACTGCCTGTTCTCACAATTGGTCCAAATAACCAAGTCAGAATCTCAGATTAATCATCAGCAAAATAATCATCCGTTCTACTCTACAGCGGGGAATCCATAGACTCTCCAGAGATACCCTCAATCCATGGGGATCAGACAGCCCAGGGTGCAGGTGGGAGGGTAAGATGAGAAGGATGATTTCCTCACAGGTGGGAGGTCCTGATAATGAGATCATTATTGCTGCATCAGAATGTATCTGTCTCGACCTGCATACAGATTAATTTTTTAAAAAACACTGCACAAGAAGACAGATTTGAATTGTTGTCCCAAATCTCACTGCCACTTCTTGTATTCTTTGCTGCTCTGATTTATATTGTTGTATAAAAGAAAAGAGAACTCAGATCCTTTTTCTTAAAAGAGCAGTTGGTTGGGGAACCTGGTCTCTAAAAAGGCTTGAAAGTAAGGTTGCAGGGGCAAGCCGAGAACCAACCCACAGAAGGCTGTTGCATCCCTTTCTAAGACTGTTTTCCTGGCTGAGCATGGTGGCTCACGCCTGTAATCCCAGCATGTTGGGAGGCCAAGGCGGGTAGATGACTTCAGCCCAGAAGTTAGAGACCAGTCCAGGCAACATGACAAAATCCCATCTCTACAAAAAATACAAAAATTAGCTGGGCGTGGTGGCACACACCTGTAGTCCCAGCTACTCGGGAGGCTGAGGTGGAAGAATCGCTTGAGCCAAGGAAGCAGAGGTTGTAGTGAGCTGAGATCACGCCACTGCACTCCAGCCTGGGCGAAAAAGTGAGATCCTGTCTCAAAAAAAGAAAGAAAAAAAGATTATGATGATTGTTTATACATGCCCAGTGGCATCTGAAACTGCATTTCCAAGGCTTTTTGACCATCTTATCCTTCTCTCCTCAGTCTTGCTGACCTAACTCTGGAGGAGATTTGTGCCTAAGGCAGATGATAATTCAGGCTCTGACTCTCCAGGTCTTCAAATGCTCATGACAGTTCAGTTGATGGCATAGCCTCTGAGACACAGAAGGGCACTCTGAATCTACTTTCTGTAAAATATCAGTTCAAAACCATCAGCTCAGGGATTGTACATGCAGGCTGCTTGTCTAGTATTCCACTAAGCACCTATCTTTTCTGCACAGTTGACCAGCTTTGCTTTGTGGGCAAAAGGTATTCATTTCAAAGAGCTAAGACACAAATTGATGCCATCTAAAGTGAATTCCTTAGAGAAATCCAGTAGTGATAGCAGCTCCCATTCCAGGCATCTAGAGTACTGCTAAGTAGCTCAATCCGCAGGAAACACTAGGCATTATTAAAAACTGGTGACCAGAGACTTCTTTCCAGAGTATTATTTCAGTCTGCTCTTGTTCTAAAATTGTCCTGCTACTGAAATCCTCAACTGCCCCTTTCTTTGTCATGACCAATATTTAAACACATCCATACTGTACAAGATCAAATTGTGCAGACACCTTGCTTAGGAAAAAAGACCCTAGAAGTAGGTGAAGTCCAGACCGACTCCCTCTCTCCCCCTGAGACTGCTGAAAACGTCACTAGTGAGTGTGTTTAGGTCTGGGGCAAATGGCTTTGTATCCAGCCAGAATTAAAGCATCAGCTGGACAAAGCTTTCTCTTTTCTCCCTCCTTCACATTCCTAGGATGCTAAACATCTTGACCATCAGAAACTAAATGGTGCTGCCTCTTGGACGGAGATCACTGAGGGTGAATGAGACAACTGTGATTTAAAAGACTGAAAGACGTTTTCCCGTGTGCTTTTGTGCCATCTTGAGTGTCAGAGACAGATCCCTGCAAGGCCCTTTCTACCTTGCACTAAGAAATCAGCACGGAGTGTCACCTAACTGGATGGAGGACATTTAGTGCTTCTTACTTGCAGAATTTGTCCCATTCGACCCACCCCAGCATCTTCTTGAATATTTGGAAATACTTCTCTCCAACTCTGTGCCCGTAGCAACTGGCATTGTTTTGCTTGTAATGTTTCTGCATGTGGCCAGCATTATAGAATGCTCCAGGCCAGAGAATGGGATTGTTCCCATGATGCCAGGGCCTGGTCAGGGAAGTGATGGGACTTGTTCCCTTTGAGGCAGAGCTACAGAGAAAGTAGGGCTGCTTCTTGTCATGTGCAAGGCATTCATTCTTTCCTCAAAGCTCAGAGGAAAAATTATATGCTGTGAGTAGGTACGGTGGCTCATGCCTGTAATCCCAACACTTTGGGAGGCCACTTTGGGAGGCCAAGGATTGCTGGAACCCAAGAGTTCAAGACAAGTATGGTCAATATAGGGAGACCCTGTCTTTACAAAAAGGAAAAAAATTAGCCTGGTGTGTGACACATGCCTGTGTTCTCAGCTGCCTGAGAGGCTAAGGTGAGAGGATTGCTAAAGCCCAGCAGTTTGAGGCTGCAGTGAGCTGTGATCACACCACTGCACTCCAACCTGAGTGACAGAGCAAGACCTTGTCTCAAAAAAAAAAAAAAAAAAAAAAAGATGCAGGGCTTCTTACCTAGGGAACATGGGCTAGGTGAATTTGAGCCACTTCCTGTTTCTGGGATTTGTTTTGTTAGTCCTTTAGAGCAGGTGCCTTAGATAGCTAGCACCTTTTGTAGAACACTGAAGACATTGCCACTTGGAATTAGAGATTGGTCAGTATTCAGCATTGACTCACGACTTAAAATTTGTCTGCTTGTTGTATTTTATTTTGGGGTGAGCACTAGGCAGAGGGATATAGCAGTTCTGTTTCCCAAGGCTTTGTTGTTGACTTTGTTTTGTTTTGTTTTCAACTTTTTGTTACAAAAATTTCAAACAGAAGTAGAGAAAATCCTCTAATGGATCCCAGTGTGCCCATCCCTCAACCTCCCCAGTGATCAACTCACGGCCAATCTTGTTTCCTATTCTTCAGCCTGCTTACTTCCCTCTGGATTCTTCTACAACCAGTCCCAGATATTGTGCCATTTTACCCACGGTTGTACTTCTTTTTTGGATATTAAGATTTTTAAATGCTAACAAAAAATAAAAACTTGAAACAAAAAAAAAAAAAAGTGTGGCATCTCCAATTGAGCATCGTGTGTCCTGTTTCTCTTTCCGGATATGTTGATGTTCTCCCTGGTGCCTTCTGCCTTTACAGTGCAAGCCAGCAGTAAGCCGCAGCAGGTCTTCCAGTTTAAGTCTTACTGTTGAAAGTGCTTTAGAAAGCTTTGATTTCCTGAACACCTCTGATTTTGACGAGGAGGAGGATGGTGATGAGGTTTGTAATGTTGGCGGAGGTGCTGACTCAGTATTTTCAGACACTGAGACTGAGAAACACAGGTAAGTCTGAAGTTAGTGTCTCCTTATATTTCTCCTATCACAGCTGATACAGTAGTTCTTTGTTACTGTCAGAGGGGACCTGGTACACATTTCCAGGAAGATAAAACTCTCCACATGAGTGACCAATTGGCTTACAATTCCTTTTTATTGTCAAGTGCAATAAAAGCATCAATATTATTCATCTCTTTGGGGTTGCTTAAGGGAAAATAAATATCTTTATATTTCCTCTTTATAAATAGGAAAATTTTGTATGAGTGTTTATATACACATACATGTGTACACATTTTTTTTTTTTTTTTTAGGAGAGAGTCTTGCTCTGTCACCCAGGCTGGAGTGCAGTAGTGCGATCTCAGCTCACCACAACCTCCACCTCCCAGGTTCAAGCAATTCTCCTGTCTCAGCTTCCCCAGTAGCTGTGACTACAGGTGCTTGCCACCACACCCGGCTAATTTTTGTATTTTTTTAGTAGAGATGGGGTTTCACCATGTTGGCCAGGCTGGTCTTGAACTGACCTCAGGTGATCCACCCGCCTTAGCCTCCCAAAGTGCTGAGATTACAGGTGTGAGCCACCACACCCAGCCCTCACATGTGTCTTATAGGGTTCAGTGTCTACAACTTGACCCCATGCAATTAATTCCAAATTAACTAGGTATACACATTTCTGGAGAACTCTTACTGGATGACAAATTTGGACCTGGTTCTCCCTGGTTTGCACTTTACTTCCGTTGCCTTTGTTTTGTTGAGCTTCCCTTTCCCAACCCTTTATGCTTCCTTCAACCCAGTGAGTCTTTGCATGAGACTGAGTTCATCAAGGCATGCATCAAAGCCAAGTTTAAGTCCCATGGTGCATATTTCTCTTAGAATGTAGGAGAGGATGACCGATGACTGCCACTGGTTCTGCAGCAATCTAGGTGGAGAATGTGACCTTCTCTGGAAGCAGTGGATGAAGGTGAAACATTGTCACCTTCACCATCAGGTGTCCTTGTGCAGCCAAATCGCATTTTGAGAACTAGAGCCTGGGGTCCAATTTTATAACTACAGATAAAGCAAAATAAGTACAGTGGAACGTACCCACCTCCACCAATTGCTGTGAAAGAAAACACACTTTCCCAAAGTGGGGATGGATTGCCCGCTTATCTTTACCTTTGGCACAATATGACGTAAACAGGTTTCAAGTTACAGCAAGCTATGACTTCAACCTTCACAAATCTCTCTGAAAGATGTTAGTTTTTTTTGTTGTTGTTGTTGTCCCTGAAAGGTTTCCTTTTTCAAAATAAAACCAGGAAAAAAACCATGAGAACTTGAATTTACCCCTTAAGCAAACTGGGGACATGGCAAAGAAAATTTATTAAATTAATGTAATGTTTAAATTATCCTACATTTGGCCAGGCATGGTGGCTCATGCCTATAATCCCAGCACTTTGGGAAGCCAAGGCCAGAGGATTACTTGAACTCAGTAGTTCAAGACCAGCCTGGGAAACATGGCAAAATCCCATCTCTACTAAAAATACGAAAGTTAGTTGGGTGTGGTGGTACGCACCTGTTGTCCCAGCTATGCGGGAGGCTGAGGTGGGAGGATTGCTTGAACTCAGGAGGTCAAGGTGAGCTGAGATTGTACCACAGCACTCCAGCCCAGGCAACAGAGCAAGAGCTTCTCTCAAATAAATAAATAAGGCAGGGCCTGGTGGTTCACTCCTGTAATCCCAGAACTTTGGGAAGCCAAAGAGGGTGAATCACTTGAGGTCAGGAGTTCGAGACCAGCCTGATCAACATGGTGAAACCCCATCTCTACTAAAAATACAAAAATTAACCAGGCATGGTGGTGTATGCCTGTAGTCCCAGCTACTCAGGAGGCTGAGGCAGGAGAATGGCTTGAACCTGGGAGGTGGAGGTTGCAGTGAGGTGAGATCGAGCCACTGTGCTCCAGCCTGGGTAGCAATGCGAGACTCTGTCTCAAAAATAAATAAAAATAAATTGTTCTGCCTTCATATTTTTCAGCTTGATAGAATGTGTGAAATGCTTCTTATCCAAAAATTTTTCTGTATACTTGTTACCTTAAGCTGTTACAGGATATAGCAAAGTCAGGCATCAAACTAAACTTTTTTTCTTCTTGCTATAAGAAACATTTTAACAACAGAAATATCACAGATTTTATAAATGTTAAAAATCTATATTAAATATGTCTAATTTGATCAATGTCATTGTATGTCATCAGAAGTATTAGGGAAGAGTGTGTGTGTGTGTGTGTTTTAAATATATAACAGCTGCTATGTGTGGACTGCCCGGACACAAACTGAGTGTTTTCCCCTTGGAGGCAAATGTGAATCAGAATAAAGCATTCAAAGCCTCTAAGCTCTGGTGCTGATCTTTTTAAATTGTGGACACCAGAGAGTGTGAGGCTAGAAGCCCAAATCTGCCCTGTCCTGTCTAGCTGGGTGAACGGGGACACTCTTAACATCCCTGCTAATCATGGGAAACAAGATCACTCTTGCCACCCTCCCCAGTACACAGGTTTATTTTAAGAATAAAATTAGATAATCAATGCAAGAGATTTTTTAAAATGTAGGTGCCTATCATGATGTAACTTCATACAGTTCAACAAGGAGGTTTAAACAAAGCATGAGAAGCAGAACTAAGCTATTCCTCTAAATACTCAAACACCCTTTTTAACTTTTGTCCAGAGTAGAACATCATGTCTCTCTTCTTGGCAGCTTTCCTTTTTCCTTTTATTCAAGTAGCAATTGATGTGAGGCCAGGAAAAAGCCGTGACAGATTATTTCTTAATGGTATTGCCTTTGGGAAACCACAAATATAGAGGACAGTTTAATCCCAGAAAATTTGGCAGATCACCCTGTCAACAGAGCAGGAAAGTGCAACACATTCAAACTGAGGGCATGTTTCAAAGACTTCTGGGTGAAACGACTTCATAAGTGGTTCATTAGGCTTAAGAAGCAGAGAAAGAACTTTGAAAGCAATTTGTTTGCATTTCCTTTTAACTCTAGGCAATTTGGTGACCAGGCAGAATTAAGTAATTTTTGAAAGGTGTCTCTATTTTTCAACATAGGCAAGTGAAAGACTGTTTTCAGGGGGTGCTGCTGGGGCCTGATGCAAACCATGTTGACTTGACCTGTGGTTTGTGCACAGAAAAAGAATAGCTAATGTTTTGCCCACCTTCAATAGTTACAGGTCAGTTCACCCAGAAGCCAGGGGCCATCTCAGTGAAGCGCTCACTGAAGACACAGGAGTTGGGACCAGTGTGGCAGGAAGTCCTCTCCCACTGACCACAGGCAACGAGAGCCTGGACATCACCATCATCAGGCACCTCCAGTACTGCACCCAACTCGTGCAGGTAGGATCAGCGATGAATTTGTGTTTGAGATGCCAGGTGATTTACATACCAGGAAGTGTGCTTTCAATTTTTAGTGTTGCCAGGGAAATGAGAATTCAGGAATAAGAGAACAGTCTTGCTCTGGTTTGAGCCAAGTCAAAAACTGATGGGCCTGCCCAACCCTCTACAACCTTGGGTTTTTCATCTTCGAACCTAACTCTCCAGACCTTAACAGTAGTAGGTGGAATATGGTTAGCTCTCACTGTTGTCTCATTTGGTAGTAAATGAGAATAATATGATTAAGGGGGTGGCGAGGGGGAAAGCATTTGTATTCCACCATCTGCAATGGAGTTTGAAAGCCAGTAGTACTGAATATATATTAATGTGAATGTCAAATGAATTACTTTTTCACCACCTGGAGAGCTAAAAGAAAGTGTTAAAGAATCTAACCACAGTCTCCTGGATCTTGAATAAGTACTTCTTATTAGCAATGCTAAGAGATATTTCTCTAGGCCATCATCATCACCATTTAGCTTTCATTCTGGGACACCACAGAGCTGATTTTTCTTCTCATCCCAAGCTGTTTACCACTTAAGGTTTTTCCACAGTGGCGCAAATGTTCTGAAATTCTTTTGTTGCAGGAAGGGTTTCAGCTGTCTTGAACAAAGCATTTTTCCTCAAGCATCTACTTAAGAGCTTTCTCCTTGCCTGGTTGCTTTTCTTCTCCTAATATCATTCTTCTCCCAGCTTGCTTGGATGTATGTGAAACAGGAAGAGAATGCAAAAGCTAATATAATGGTTCCAGACCAGGCACAGTGGCTCACGCCTATAGTCCCAGCACTTTGGGAGGCCAAAGCAGGAAGATTGTTTGAGCCCAGGAGTTTGAGACTAGCCTGGTCAACAGAGTGAAACCTCATCTCTACAAAAGATACAAAAATTAGTCAGGCGTGGTGGCACACGCCTGTGGTCCCAGCTACTCAGGAGGCTGAGGAGGGAGGGTTGCTTGAGCCTGGGAGGCAGAGGTTGCAGTGAGCTGTGAGGGCGCCACTGCACTCCAGCCTGGGTAACAATGGTTCTACTCCTTTCTGTGTCTCTCAGAGACCTGTCTCGATCACCTGATAGGCACAGATGCAGAACATGGACCTGTACTACCATGCTGAATTGTCTAAGGTATTTGGACTCTAAAACAAATAGGATTTGCAAACCCAGCACTTTGGGAGGCTGAGGCCTCATTTAAAAAAAAAAAAGAAAAAAGTGTCAAGGGGATCAGCCAAGCAGGAAGGGTGCAGAAAGAGGAGGAATTGTTGTAACCCAAAAGCACAGAGCCTGTTGGAAGACAAGAGTCAGGGTGAGGAGCCAGGGGTCCCTTGGGAGCCCAGCAGAGGGGCAGGGTTGCCTCCTTGGTAACACACATGTAAGGAGAATATGCTTCTCCACTGGAGATGAAGAGCATCAGAGAAGCCTCAGACAACTGTGTGCTGTGGGAGACTGGTCGGCAATTATAACTCCTGCCACTTGGTTAGCCAACACTTAGTTGAACTCTTCTGTTGAGTTTCAAGGTCAAAAACCACCAAGGTCTCACAAACCATGAGACTGACAACCAATCTGGTAGAATGTGCATTTTTTTTTTTCTGATCAAAATAGACAGGGATTTTTACTTATGTATAACTGTTTTCTACTCACCAACCATTTGAACGAGACAGCTCTTTGTCCTTGCTGACCTTGATACTACGCCAAGCAAACTACTTGTTTCTCTTTTAGAGAAAAATAGCTGTTTTGTGAGACATAAAAGAATTCTTGTCTATGAAGGAGTGACTGTTTTCTCGCAAAGACTAATTGGCATGTTTTTAGTGTAAGCAGTCAATGAAGTGTTTCTCTCAGTAATAAGGCCATGATTATAATAATTCAGCCTTTCTATGGGGATGAGCAATGGTACAAAAACAGATGAGGTGGATATAAAGATGTAGATTGAAGGAGTGAGGATTAGAAACTTCTCACTTGCATTGATTCATGTGTGAGCTTACTTATTTGTTAGGTATATAATCACAGAGAGATAAAGATGTGCATTTTCTAAGAATCATAATCACTACAATTATTTTCAAAATAAAGCAGTTCATTGCTGTTGTATTTACTCACAAGAAAGGTGTTAGTACATAATTGCTGCACTAGACTTTTTTTTTTTTTTTTTGACAGAGTCTTACTCTGTCACCCAGGCTGGAGTGCAGTGGCACAATCTTGACTCAGTGCAGGTTTCAAGCGACTCTCCTGCCTCAGCCTCCTGAATAGCTTAGACTACAGGCCTGCACCACCACGCCTGGCTAATTTTTGTATATTTAGTAGAGGTAGGGTTTTGCCATGTTGGCCAGGATGGTCTCAATCTCCTGGCCTCATGATCTGCCTGCCTCAGCCTCCCAAAGTGCTGGGTTTGAAAATCCTATTTGTTTTAGAGTCTCAATACTTTAAACAATGCAACATAGTAGTACAGGTCTGTGTTCTGCATCTATGCCTACCAGGTGATCGAGACAGGTCTCTGAGAGACACAGAAAGGAATAGAACCATTGCACAGCAAGTGACTTATATTCTTTCCTCTCTTAGGCCTTCTCATTCTTGTGAACTGCACACAAATGAACCCACTTACAACTTATGTGACCTTAGGCAGGTTGCTTAACCTCTCTGTGCCTCAATTTTCTCATCAGTAAAATGGGGATATCAATAGGACCCGCCTCACTGGGTTGTTATGAGAAATAACATAAGCTAACACTTATACAGGACCCAGACCAGTGGCTGGCACATAGTAAGCACTCATTTGTTATCAAGAGACAGCTCTGATTGTAATTATCATTATTATTTAACCTGCCCTTAACTTTCAACTTGAACACACACACACAAAAATAAAACCATGCTGTGAAAAATTACTGCATTTGTAAGACAAATCTATTTCTGCTTACACACCAAGACACAGCCTAAACTGCCACTTACGTTTCAAAGGGGAAGATCAGATTCATAGTACATAAAAGGGAAGGCAGCTTTATAATAATGTTGTAGACCTACTACTGAGAAAGTTCCAGAATTTATGCACACATGAAGAAATGCAAAGCAACAAAAACATGCCTGATTTCATCAGATGTTGTAACTGGCATGGAATGAGGATCATTATCAAGCTGGAAGAAAAACATTGCATGAGTTTATTTAGTATCATCACCACATTCAGGAAGAATGAAGCTGGGTAGAGAAAGCTCTACTGAAAACAACATAATTGAAACAGTGGTTTTGTTTGTTTTACCAGCAAATAGTTTTCTCAAGCAAAATCCCATTTGTGGCAAGAAGTCTCTTAGAGAAGCTTTCTAGGCAGATCCAAGTGATGGAGAAACTCGCCGCTGTCAGTGATGAGAACATAGGAAATATCAGTTCTGTTGTGGAAGGTAAGTATCTGCCAATTACACCGCTATTCATGTAAATAATGACACCACTAGCCCAGTCCACTCCCTATGCATGTTCATTGCTTTGTTGGAAAAACAGAAAAGCATTCTTAGGTCACAGGATTGAGAAAGGTCTCCAAACAAATTGGACTCATTAATGTCACATTTCGGCTTTCTGAGTCAAAGCAGCAGACCCACAGTTTTTTTCCAGAGGGCCTCCACCTCCGAAAGTCAGACACAGAAACAGAAACAGCACCCACTTCACAGGCAGAGTTTCACACACTTTCTGCTGGTGCGGTTCCCTTTAGGGACAGATGACTATAGGATGTTCTTGCACCCTGGAGGTGGCTAAGACAACTCCTATAGTGACTGTCAAATGGAAGATCCTGCCAGACCCTGCTCGGGAAAGGTACAAATACATGCATGCAAACACCTCCAGGAGAGTTCCTGATTCTAAGAGTTTTAGATGAAGAATTTGACATGGGAAAGATGCCTTTGAATTTGTGTGATCTGGCTATGGGGCACTTTTGTAGAAACCAGAATTTATATCTTTTTTCATATCAGATATTCAGCAGAAATAGGGTCTTCCAGGTAATCTCTGATTAAACCTAAAACTTCCTCTATCTTATTCTCCCTGTACATTTCTGCCTCCCACATCCATTCCCAGTAGAAGTAGGTGACCTTGGCCAGTTTCTGAGGGGCATGAAGAGGGGCAGGACATTCAGGCTGTGAGTGACTTGTGTCTTCTCCTCTCCCAGCCCCGTCCTCATGATCATGACACATACAAGTGAAACATTGTTCCTATGCCACCTGGTACCATGCTGTTCAGTCATTTCAGTCAGGGAACCACCTGGGCAGGGTAAAAATTTCCTCCAGCCACCTACCGCTACCTCCCATCCCCTTCAGGAAACGCTCCTCAAGTTTGAGTCCTCGATCCTGTATGATTTCTGCTGTGGAGTTACAGGAAAACCCATGATTGGAACGTTTCCCAAGGGTGGAGCTCCTGTGTTTCCTATCACTCACAGCAAGCAGCCTTGTGTTTGCTCTGTTTTCTTTGCTGCCCAGGCAGGATGAATTCCTGTCATAACTTCTTTACCCTTCGGGCCGTCTGCCAACCACAGAGGAATCTGCTAGTTCCATCTGAAAACTAATCGCAGTCTTATGGGGAGAAAAAAGGTCCCTAAAGACCTCCCCCGACACACCCTTTCCCCAACACGTCTTTATCTGCTTCATTTAAAATGTGTTATAGCCTGGCGCGGTGGCTCACGCCTATAATCCCAGCACTTTGGGAGGCCGTGGTGGGTGGTTTGCTTGAGGCCAGAAGTTCGAGACCAGCCTGACCAACATGGTAAAACCCCATCTCTAATAAAAATACAAAAATTAGCCAAGTGTGGTGGTGCATGCCTGTAATCCCAGCTACTTGGGAAGCTGAGCAAGAGAATCACTTGAACCCAGGAGGCGGAAGTTGCAGTGAGCCGAGATCATGCCGTTGCACTCCAGCCTGGGTAACAGAGCAAGACTCTGTCTCAAAAAGATAAAATAAAATAAAATGTGTTATGAGATGGGGGGTTGCTCTTCTTTTCCAGCCATACCAGAATTTCACAAAAAGCTGTCTTTGCTGTCATTCTGGACCAAGTGCTGCAGCCCTATTGGTGTCTACCACAGCCCAGCGGACAGAGTGATTAAGCAACTGGAGGCCAGCTTTGCCAGAACCGTCAACAAAGAATATCCAGGACTTGCAGACCCAGGTACGAGGCAGCAGTAGAGAGAGAATTTCTGTCCTTCGGTGTGAGAGTGGGCATTGCGGCGGGATCCGGGGGGAGGGGTTCCTGCTACCACTTGCCTGCGGATGGGAAGCACACAAAAGGCCAGCCCTGAAAAAAGAAGTGTACTGTCCAGGGAAAACATCATCTACTCAGATTTAAGAAAAGAAAGATGTTGAACTGTTTTAATTCAGAATATCAGCAGTGACATTTAAAGCTACTACATTTTAGCCAGGCACAGTGGCTCACATCGGTAATCCCAGCACTTTGGGAGACCGAGACGGGTGGATCACCTGAGGTCAGGAGTTCGAGACCAGCCTGGCCAACATGACGAAACTCCGTCTCTACTAAAAATACAAAAATTAGCCGGGCATGGTGGCCCACGCCTGTAATTCCAGCTACTTGGGAGACTGAGACAGGAGAATCGCTTGAACCCAGGAGGCAGAGGTTGCAGTGAGCTGAGATCACGCCACTGCATTCCAGCCTAGGTGACAGAGTGAGGCTCCATCTCAATAATAATAAAGCTACTACGTTCTTAGGTATTGTTATTTCTATATGTGTACTTCTTTCATTACAGTTTCACCAGTTTGAGAGTGTCAAATGGTATGATCACTTTGGAAAAACTGTTTGGCAGTTTCTACTAAAGCTCAACATACCCCCTACCCTTGGATCCAGCACATTCATTCCTAAATATGTAAAGACTAATAAGTGCCATGTTCACAAGAAAGGACTTTATATGAAGGTTCCTACCAACTTTACTCACAATAGCCAAAAATTGGAAACAACCTAAATGCCCACAAGAGAATGGATAAATTGTAATATACTCATAGCACAGAGTATCACACAGCAATTTTTAAAAACAAAATACAGACAAGGTCTCACCCTGTCACCCAGGGGGAATGCAGTGGTGTGATAACAGCTCACTGCAGCCTCCATCTCCTGGGCTCAGGAGATTCTCCTGCCTCTTCCCCTTTTGTACTGGGACTATAGGCAGATGCCAACACACCTGGCTAATGTTTGTACTTTTAGTAGAGACGGGGTTTCACCCTCTTGCCCAGGCTGGTCTTGAACTCCTGGGCTCAAGCAATCCTCCCTTGGCCTCCCAAAGTGCTGGAATTACAGTTGTGAGCCACTACTCTGGGCCAGCAATATATTTTTTTCTTTTTTCTTTTTTTTTTTTTTTTTTTTGAGATGGAGTCTCGTTCTATTGCCCAGGCTGGAGTGCAATGGTGTGATCTCAGCTAACTGCAACCTTCACCTCCCAGGTTCAAGCGATTCTCCTGCCTCAGCACCCCCAGTAGCTGTGATGGCAGGCACATGCCACCATGACTGGCTAATTTTTATATTTTTAGTAGAAACAGCGTTTCGCCATGTTGGCCAGGCTGGTCTTGAATTCCTGACCTCAGGTGATCCACTTGCCTCAGCCTCCCAAAGTGCTGGGATTACAGGAGTGAGCCACTGTGTCCAGCCCTGGGCTAGCAATTTTTAAAAAGAACACATTGTTGCTATAATCAATAATTTGAATGAATCTCACAGATACTTTGTTGTGTAAAAGGAACAAGACACCAAAAGTACATACCATATAATTACATTTACATGAAGTTCAAGAACAGGTGAAACTAATTTATGTTGATAGATGTCAGATTGTTAGTTGCCGATTTGTGCCCTTCCCTTCCTTTCTCTTCCCTTCATTTTTCCTTCCTTCTTTCCTTCCTTCCTTCTCTTTTCCTCTCTCACTTGTCTCTTCCTCTTCCTTTTTATCTCTCTTCTACACACACATATATAATATTTATTCGTTATGTATGTTATATATAAGGGAAGGGAAGGGTGGTTATGGACTGGGAAGGGGCACAAGGAAACCTTATGGAATGCGGGCCGTCTTCCATATCTTGATCTAAATGGCAGTTACACAGGTGTGCACATGTGCAAAAACCATCCAACTGCTTACTTTACCTACTTCACTGTATCTTCAACCACAATAAAAGATAAACAACTTATTGAGCCAGATGTGATGGCTCATGCCTGCAATTCCATCTACTTGGGAAGCTGAGGCAGGAGGACTGCTTGAGCCCAGGAGTTTGAGACCAACCTGGGCAACAAAGTGAGACCCTGTCTCTCAAATAAAAATAAAAATAAAAGTTATTGAATGAATGAATGGTCATATATCTAAAGCTGCTTTGTGTCTTTCCCTTCCGAATAGTGTTTCGAACCCTGGTGTCCCAAATTCTGGACCAGGCTGAGCCTCTGCTTTCCTCCAGCCTGTCCTCGGAAGTCGTCACTGTTTTCCAGTATTACAGTTACTTCACCAGCCACGGCGTCAGTGACCTGGAGAGTTACCTGAGCCAGCTGGCAAGGCAAGGTGGGACATGTTCTTTTGTCACATTGTAGTGGTGGCTCAATTTGGCGATATCTCTGGTCTTTTAAATCATGGCTTTTGGCAATGATGGCCTTTTATTTTTCAAGTTCATAGTAGAGGTGCAATTTGCCTTTTAAATGACTTTTGGACTTTTAACATTAGTGAGCCCCTTGTTAATGAACCAGGGATTCACTAGAAGCAACTCAATTATCTGGCAGAGAGGTACCATTTACGGGATGTTGGTAAATGATTTAAGCTTTCACTGTAATTTATTTCCTTCAGTAATGTATTTGCCATTAGTCGGATCAATCCTACAGGCAATACTATTTTATATTGCCCTTTTTGGTGAGGCTTTCAGTAATAATAGGAAGAAATGGGGTTTCAAAGAAGGCAGGTAGGTAACATGGTGGGAAGGGAAAGGAGGAAATGGTGGAAAACTAACTCTAGGGCTACATGTCCAGGGAACAAGAACAGCTGCCAGTGCAGGCGTGCACCAATGAAGCCGGTTCTTGCCATTCCACGTGGCCCTTCAGAGACTGGAAATAAATAACAATCTGAATCAAGTGAAAACTCCACTTTGGGAGTGGAGCCAGGTAGTGAGGGGCTGGTTTCTGGTTCCCAGGTTTATGCTCTATAAATCCACGGAGACTTGACAATGCAGGTTAAAAGGGACGGGAGGAATGAGGTGTGTTCTTTGGAGCTAGGTGAGTCTGGCACAGCACCAGGCAGCAGCAACCTGTCTGGCACAAGCCCAGGCTTACCCCTTCTCTCTCCAGAACATCAAATCCTGCAACAACACAGTCAGCACATTGGGTGGCATCATAGTGAAGGAAGCAAAATCTTCCTTCACCCAGCACTGTACCAGCACGGAGCATGGGAGAGAGTCTGAGCATAACCCCTTACGAGGCAGACGCCAGCACAAAGGACCAGGAAGACAAAGCATGGGCAGAAAGACCTTGTTTTAGGACCACAAAGTCTTATTTTATATTATAATCTTCATTTCTTGATACCAAATTTGCCCCAACTAAATCAATATCCTGAGAAAACGTTTCTATTACTCAGATTATATCAGTGGCAATTTACATCTCCAGCCTCTTATTACATGGTCCCCAAGAAAGCCTATTCATTTACTAACAGAAATGGGAAATGACAATGAAAAAAAAAAAAACCCTTAACCTTTTAAGTGTCTCTTTTCTTTCACTATAAAAGGGAAAGTCTTCATTATTTAAAATATATATATATAAAAAACAGAGAAGTATAAAGAAAGAAATTCCAATCTCTCCTTCCCCTACTTTTTAAATTGAATGTATTTTTCAGTTGAATGTATGTGGGTTTTAGATTCAAAATTGTAATTATGCCTTACAGAGTATTGATCCTGTTTTTTAGTTAATATTATGTTCTGTGTTATTAAGTATTCTTTGAAAGCATTTGTATTAGATTATGTTAGTTATTAGATTAATAGTTCTGCATTTGAATGTATACTAATGTATTTGATTATATTGTTGAACATTTAGGCTATTTTCTGCTATTTGTTAATTTAGATGTTATAATCCACAATGCTGCCTTGAGGCTTTTTACTAGGGTGTTTATTTACAAAGCAGTGAAATTGATAGAGCATCCACAGCAAGGAAAATAGGAAATTAAAGCAAAAAAAAAAAAAAATCTAAATAAGTCACACATTTGTCTACTGTGTAGAGAATATTGCTTTATTCATGGAGCATGAATTTTGGCTTTTATGTTTCCATCTGTACTGACCAGACACATCCTCATCCCAGGGTTTTTGTGACTAACGGTTGGTCATGCTAGATTTCTGGTTAGGGAGTATAGTATACTCTTTATTCAAGGAACATGGTTAATTTGTCCAAATGGGACTCAAAACCTTATTTTTTACTGTATTGTCTTCATATTCCAACCAACAAAACAGGTTGCTCTGGCCAGGCACGGTGGTTCACACCTGTAATCCCAGCACTTTGGGAGACCAAGGCGGGTGGATCATTTGAGGTCAGGAGTTTGAGACCAGCCTGGCCAACGTGGTGAAACCCATCTCTACTAAAAATACAACAATTAGCTGGGCATGGTGGCATGCACCTGTAATCCCAGCTACTTGGGAAGCTGAGGCAAGAGAATCACTTGAACCCAGGAGGCGGAGGTTGCTGTGAACTGAGATCACACTATTTGCACTCCAGCCTGGGCAACAAGAGCAAGACTCTGTCTCAAAAATAAAAGAAAGAAAGAAAAGAAAAGAAAAAAATTAAATAAATAAATAAATAAACGGGTTGCTCCATCAGTGCCCAGTTGCCTCAGTGAAGACTTGGTTTCTGTACTGGGTTCACCCAGGATTGGGGTTTTGCCAAACAGGTTTGACTAAAAGAGGAGCAATTGAGTCTGCCATACATATATTAGGAAGATAGTAAAAACCGTCTACCTGTGTTTTCTTCTGTATATTTTTACATTGGGCTAATTCATCTGTAAGTTATTTTTGTAGCCATTATGAGATAGAAACCCACCTTCACTTTTTCCCATGTGCTTTGCCCATCACTGTAATGTAGTTATTTGAATAGTCTGTCCTTTTCTCACCAATCTGAAATACCACCTTTATCTGACGCTAATTTTTCATATGTATTTGAGTTACTATACTATACTTTCTTATGTACTTGAGTTCTATTTATATTTGTAATGAGCTCGTTACTTTAGCATGTCAGAACATGAAATCTCCTTCCTTCTTACCCTCTAGTTTCCATGGTTCAGACTCTGCAATCACTGAGAGATGAAAAACTGCTACAGACCATGAGTGACCTTGCTCCCAGCAACCTCCCGGCCCAGCAGGAAGTCCTCAGGACTCTGGCTCTCCTATTAACCAGAGAAGACAATGAAGTTAGCGAGGCTGTGACGCTTTACTTGGCAGCAGCCTCCAAAAATCAGCATTTCAGGGAAAAGGTAAGACACTAAACCATGGCCATTGAGCCAGAAGCTAGTTTAATTTTCTATCATTTACTACTAATATTTTAGCATTTATTCTTTTACAAAAATAATTTTTTCTGCTTATTGATAATATGTGCTCCATAAACCAATCAAAACTAAAGAAATGATGGGGTCCTACTTTGCTACCCAGGCTGGACATGCACCACCCAGGTAATGCAATCATAGCTCGATACAGCCTTGAACTCCTGCCATTTCCCTCTTTTACTCATTTCAAGGGCCTTCAAGGTTCACTATCAAACCCAGGTTTACCCCTTACCAAAACCACATATTCCAAGACTTAAATGGGTGATGATAACTTCAATTGTCCTTCCTCTCGGGCATGTTTGCATTATAACAATGCTTCAATAGGGATGAAATGCTAAAGATGACCTTGGTGTATATCCACCTCTGGGAATGGGAGCTTTGGAGGGGGTTGATGGCAAGTGGCACTTCAGGGACCTTGTTCCTTTTGTACGGGAGGCTAGTCCCTGTGTAGCTGCCCAGCTGTGGATTGAGGGTTATTTCCTCCCCTTTTGGATGCTAGGCAAAGAAAAGGGAGGGGAGGGGGGCTGCCTATGCTGATGTAATGCATGCTGGAGGAAGGGGGTCCCTCATTGTTAGGCATGGGGAGCAGAATGCTGTGGTGATGGCCCAGTAGGAAACTGAGACCTCCAACAAGACCTGAGACCATGGAAAAGGGATAAATCTAAGAAATATCATCATATAGCCCAGGCACGGTGGCTCATGCCTGTAATCCCAGCACTTTGGGAGGCTGAGGCAGGAGGATGGATTGGTCCCAGGAGTTCGAGACCAGTCTAGGCAACATGGCGAAACCCCGTTTCTACAAAAAAAAACATTAAAAAACAATTAGGCCGGGCATGGTGGCACATATCTGTAGTACCAGCTACTTGGGAGGCTGAGGTGGGAGGATCACCTGAGCCCAGGAGGTTGAGGCTATAGTGAGCTGTGATCATGCCACTGTACTCCAGCCTGGGTGACAGAGCAAGAACCCTGTCTCAAAAAAATAAAACAAATGGCAGAGCAATACCACTTATTGATTCAACAGATACCCTTTAGTATGGTGATCTGACTTGAGTTATGCTTTTAAAAATAAAAGTAAACCGGGCGCGGTGGCTCACGTCTGTAATCCCAGCACTTTGGGAGGCCCAGGTGGGTGGATCACCTGAGGTCAGGAGTTTGCAACCAGCTTGACCAACATGGTGAAACCCTGTCTTTACTAAAAATACAAAAATTAGCTGGGCATCGTGGCATCCGCCTGTAATCCCAGCTACTAGGGAGGCTGAGGCAGGAGAATCGCTTGAACCCAGGAGGCGGAGGTTGCAGTGAGCCAAGATTGCGCCATTGCACTCCAGCCTGGGCAACAAGAGTAAAACTCCATCTCAAAGCATAAATAAATAAATAAAAATAAAAAATAAAAGTAATTCAGACAAATAGCAAGAAATGCACAATATAGCCCAACAAAATCAAAAGTTAGTCCTCTCTTTCCACCCTCAATTCTCTTCAAGAGTAATTAAGTTTCCTATGAACCAATATGACATATAGTGATTCTTATTCATTTGAATTAATGTTAAGTACTACACATTTTATCAACCATTTAGGAAAAAATTAGCTTGGTAAAAATAAGACAATTGGCTGGGTGCCAGTGGCCTTTACGCGCTGCGTAATCCCAACACTGCTTGGGAGGGGCAAGTGGCGACGGATCCAACAAGGTCAGGATTCAGAGCCAGCCCTGCCAAGTATGGCAAAATCCCTATCTCTACTAAAAAAAAAAAAAAAAATAGCTGGGTTGGTGGGGTGGGCCACCAGTAATCCAGCTACTTAGGGAGGCTGAGGTAGACGCCGAATCGCTTGACACCCGGGAGAACGGACGGTTGCAGTGGAGCCAGACTCATGCCCACTGCAGCCTCCCCAAACGTGGGCGCCGACAAGCGACGACTGTCTCAAAAAAAAAAAAAAAAAAAAAACAATGCCTACTTTTATGCCAAGAGTTTTTTTTATAGCAGAGCCCATGTAAGTTTGCCCATGTATCAAACTCAGCAAATCTCAGAACTGACCAATTACCACCTCCCTCACTGGAAACGTAATGCCTCCTCCTGTCTTCCTTATTTTTCTGCTGATACCTTTTTCAATCAACCTTCCCTGCCTGAATCAACCCATCATTTCCATTCCAGGCGTTCAAACATTTTTGTGAACTTACCTCGGCCCCTCCATAAAATGTCCTCTTTTCAAGTGACTGACGTACCTTGTGGATTTCTTATGGTCACTAATACATTTTCTTCTCTTCAGTCCTCTAACAGTAACCTTATAATAGCTTCTACTTACATCTACAGGCTCCTTAAAGCCAGAACCAATAATTCCTATCTCCCAATTTTATTTAATAAATTGATCCCTATATTCTTCCTAGAGTCATGGAACTCTAGGAGAATGTTTCAAATCTTGGAATGACACATGGGACAAGGGCAGGAGCTGCAGGCCTTTATGATGGGACATATACAACGGGATTAACACCTTAAAAGAAAAAGTTAATGATCTGGGATCAAAAACAGCTCTGAGAATTTTGCCTTCTCATTATTGGTTAAAAAATTACCCTTTAGGTGGCCAATAAAAGCCCCACCATGATTACGTTACTCAAATAAATTGATCCCTTATGTTCTCCTAGAGTCATAGGAGATCCTAGGAGAACATAAGGATCAATTTATTGAATAAATGACTCTTTAATTAACATGAATCTCAATGACTTTTTTTTTTCTTGCTCTGTAGGTAGTGCAAAATGTGTAGGTTATATGCTATAGGTTATCTCAGAGTGAGAACGAGGTATACCTCTTAAACTACAAACAAACCAAAATGCCTTCACGAGATCCCTCCTTCTCTTTCAGGCCTTGCTCTATTACTGTGAAGCACTAACAAAGACAAACCTCCAGCTCCAGAAAGCAGCTTGCCTGGCCCTGAAAATCCTTGAGGTAAAGCCCAGCCTTGGAACTCCCCTGGCAGCTCAGCTTGGAGCCAGGCTAAGCCGAGTATATATAACAGCTTTTCTTTCATGTTTGAAAGTACTTTTTTAGCAGTGTTTCTTGTCTCCTTTGTACTGTATGTTAGTTTTAGTATTTTTCTCCCTTAAACAGTAATTACATGTGACTTTGTTTTGTTAGTCAGTAAGTGGCAGAAAGCAATCATGTTTTGCACTAGCCCAAGGGAACCGGTTTGCCTTTAGGTCAATATTAGAAAAGTATGTCATATTGGCTGGCATGGTGACTCACGCCTGTAATCCCAGCATTTTGGGAGGCCAAGGCCAGTGGATCACCTGAGGTCAGGAGTTTGAGACCAACCTGGCCAACATGGTGAAATCCCGTCTCTACAAAAATTAGCCAGGCATGGTGGCAGGTGCCTGTAATCCCAGCTACTCAGGAGGCTGAGGTGGGAGAATTGCTTGAACCCAGGAGGCAGAGGTTGCAGTGAGCCAAGATTGTGCCATTGCACTCCAGCCTGGGTGGCAGAGCCAGACTGTGTCTCAAAAAAAAAAAAAAAAAAAAGAGAAAAAAGGAAAGTATATCTTAAAAGGGAAATGAGATGTATGGTGATTTCACTCACTTTTATTGTGAACAACAAAAAGCAGGGACAAATAAGATTTGAAAAGAAGTACTAAAATTCAGTATGCCACTGAATTCCCAGATCCTTCCCCACAAGCTCTCTTTATTAAGCAGAGAACCAGTTTTGATTGTCATAAGGTGTCGTGAGCAGGGAGAGAGCTAGAATGTAAACAAGTACGAAAAGACTGAGAACTCCTGACATGGAAGTTTCCCTTTCAGTAGGCAAGATGTAATGTTTGACCTACCTTCATCACAAAAAAATAAGACAAATCAGTCTTGAGAAAAGAATGAGAGAAAGCCACACCTTGGAACTTGCCAAAATCTTGGAAAACAGGCAGGGACGTGCAGGCCTGATAAAGAAAGGGATTAATACCTCAAAAGAAAAAGTTAACGGCCTGTGATTAAAACCAGCTCTAGGGCCAGGCATGGTGGCTCACGTCTGTAATCCCAGCACTTTGGGAGGCTGAGGCCGGTAGATCACCTAAGGTCAGGAGTTTGAGACCAGCCTGGACAACATGGTGAAACCTCATCCTTACTAAAAATACAAAAATCAGCCAGGCATGGTGGCGCACACCTGTAATCCCACCACTTTAGGAGGCCAAGACAGAAGAATTGCTTGAGCTCAGGAGTTTGAGACTAGCCTGGGCAACATAGTGAGATCTCATCTCTACCAAAGATTAAAAATTGAAAATCGGTCTTGGCTACTCAGGAGGCTGAGGCAGGAGAATTGCTTGAGCCCAGGAGGTCAAGGCTGCGGCGAGCTATGATCGCTCCATTGCACTCCTGGCAACAAAGTGAGGCTAAAGTTCCCACCAGTTGTTAAATGCCAATTCTCATGGAACTCTAGACCTAAATATCAAAACACGATGTAACCTATTTTTCCGCCATAGGCTACTGAAAGCATTAAAATGCTGGTGACATTGTGTCAGTCTGATACTGAAGAAATCAGAAATGTAGCCTCCGAAACCCTCTTGTCTCTGGGTGAGTTTTATTGTTGTTGTCGTTGTTGTTTACATGATTGTGTGCTTCTGGCACTCTCAGAGGGATGTTCCCTTTGAGATGTTCCCTTCTCCAGTAAAGAGAAGTTTCGTGTACCCTGTCTTAGCAGTTTCGCCGCTGTAGGCTGTCTTCTCACACAGAGTACGAAGAACTGATCAGTGTCCATCTCACCCCAGCTCCTCGTTCTGTCTGGATGCTGAGAGTGAAGTATATTCTCCGGAGCCTTTCTATATGGACTGATCAGTCTGTATACTGTTTGGAATCAAGAACACAGAAGTCAAACCATAAAGCAGAGGCAATAGGAATCCAGGCTGGGTTGCCAGGGTGGGGTTGACACTCCCTGGAGGACAGAAGTTGGGTGAGGTACCAGAGATGCGTCCCAGGGAATACTGTAAAGCCCCAGGTATCTCAGCCTCACCCTGACTCCCAGGTTAACCTCTGACTGCCCTGTAGCCTCTGCCCATCTGAGCCCTGATACCTAAGAAAATAATTGGAGTACTTATTTTATTCTGAAATATCCAGAGAACCCTTCCTCTTCACTTTATTTTATGAAGATTCATGCCTAGCAGGCATTATACATTTATTCTTCTTTGGGGACTTGGGAGGATAGGGAAAGCCTTTCTTAATTCTGAATTTAAAAGTATAAATAGCTGGGCTTGGTGGCTCACCCCGGTAATCCCAGCACTTTGAGAGGCTAAGGTGAGTGGATCACTTGAGGTCAAGAGTTCGAGACCAGCCTGGCCAACATGGTGAAACCGTGTCTCTACTAAAAATACAAAAATTAGCCAGGCATGGTGGGGTGCACCTGTAGTCTCAGCTACTTGGGAGGCTGAGGTAGGAGAATCACTTGAACCCAGGAGACAGAGGTTGCAATGAGCTGGATCATGCCACTGTACTCCAGCCTGGGTGACACAGCAAGACTCCCTCTCAAAAAAAAAAAAGTATAGATAATCATTATAAATAATTTTACTTCAACAATACACTCTTAAAAGTGTAAAAACTATGCTCCTAGAGCTGGGTGCGGTGGCTCATGCCTGTAATCCCAGCCCTTTGGGAGGCCGAGGTGGGCAGATCACCTGAGGTTGGGAGTTCGAGACCAGCCTGACCAACATGGAGAAACCCCGTCTCTACTAAAAATACAAAATTAGCCGGGTGTGGTGGCACATGCCTGTAATCCCAGCTACTAGGGAAGCTGAGGCAGGAGAATCGCTTGAATCTGGGAGGCGGAGGTTGCGGTGAGCCGAGATCACGCCATTGCACTCCAGCCTGGGCAACAAGAGCAAAACTCTGTCTCAAAAAAAAAACAAAGAACTATGCTCCTAGAAATCCTCAGACATAATGCAATCAATAATGCAGCTTAGAAAAAAGCCACCCTTGTTTAGTGATAGTAACTAAACAACATGAAGAAGAATCTCATGGCATTTATAATCACTGTGAAAATCCCATTCATTGTTAGGCCCTCTTTCTTACAATTATGGGTTTAACAAGGCATCATTCTGCTATTGAATATATTATTTCTTCCACAGAAATCTTAGCCAGTATATATTTGTTTAAAGGATAAAAGTTATTCCTTATGGCTGTATTAGGCATAGAAATTGTTTAATTCTCTAAAAATGTACCCAGGTATTATTAGTTTAAACTCCTTTATCCCTTTGTATTCTAAAATAACCATGAAGTTAAGCCAGGCGCTTATAAAGCATAGCCAACGAAGCTTCTATTTCCAGTGTAATCTAAGGAAGTTGATCCCAAAAGAATGTGCCCTGGGACTCACTGGAGCTGTGCGAACAGCAGTATCTCCAGAAGCCATCACCATACCTGCTTCACCTTAGCTCTTCATGCACACTGCTCGCATCTGGGCCCTCTCACACCACCAGTGTGCAGTGCTCAACACTGGCTGCTCATTCACGAGGGAAGCTTAAACAATCTACTCCCAAAGATTCTGCTTTCATTGGTCTAAGTGTTCCTTGGCATCAGGAGTTTTTAAAGCCTCCCGGGTGATTCTAATACAAAGTTTGAGAACCCCCTGAACTCAATATTATGAATCTTCTTTGACCCTAATGTACAAATACTGGCACATTTTTCTCTCACACAAATGACTGAATCAGTATAGTGAAAATAGTATTTTCAATAGGAATTGATAAAATGCCCTATGACAAAGGGCAGAAGGTCATTGCAGGCACTTAAAGGACTCAGGGCTGCAACTATTTACCAACCAGTATGGAATGATTTCGATATTTTAACCTAGAGCTGTCCGGTAGATCCCTCCATGGTGATGGGATTGTTCTACATGCGCACTGTCTGGTATGACAGGAGTCATCCTAAATGGCTGTTGAGCTGTTCACCTTCACTACCATGATTGAGGAACTGAAGTTTTAAGTTTATCCCATTTTAAACCCATTGTAAGTTGAAAATACTGTTAAGTCAAAAATGCACTTAATACATCTTACCTACAGAACATCATAGCCTAGCCTAGCGTACCTTAAACATGCTCAGAACACTTACATTAGCCTACAGTTGGGCAAAATCATCTAACACAAAGCATATTTTATAATACAGTGTTGAATATCTCATAGATTGTATTGAATACCATGCTAAAAAAGTATGGTTTCTACTGAATGCATGCGGCTTTTGCACCATTGTAGTTGAAGAATCATAAGTCTAAGCCATTGTCAGTCAGGGACCATCTGTAATTACCATTTAGATTTAAATGTGAGGTTGGTGGCCATATGTGGTTGGTGGCCACAATGTTGGACAGAACAGTTTTCACCATGACTATGGCCATTTCATTGTGTCCCAGCTGGACCTCAGACCTGCTTGGAACCATACTCCCTGACTCCCCAAAGCTGGAGCTCTCTCCCCTCCAACACTCTGCCTACTTCACAAGGCAGTTAAAGGATTGGCAGAGGGCCGGCTGCCTACTTCACAAGGCAGTTAAAGGATTGGCAGAGGGCCGGCTGCAGTGGCTGGTACGTGTAATCCCAGCACTTTGGAAGGCCAACACAGGATTGCTTGAGTGTGAGAGCACAGGAGTTCAAGACCAGCCTGATCAACATAACAAAACCCCATCTCTACAAAATAAAAATAAATACAATTAGCCAGAGCTGGGCGTGGTAGCTCAACCCTGTAATCCCAGCAATTTGGGAGGCCAAAGTAGAAGGATTGCTTGAGGCCATGAGTTCTTGTTTTCTGGGTTGTTTTGTTTTGTTTTTAAACAATTTTACTCTTTTTAAAAAATATATATTTTTCAATTTGATAGAGATGGGGTTTTGCCATGTTGCCCAGGCTGGTCTCAAACTTTTGGCCTCAAGAGATACTCCCACCTCCGCCTTCCAAAGTGCTAGGATTAAAGTCATGAGCCACTGCACTGGCCGAGGCCAGGAGTTTGAGACCAGCCTGGGCAACATAGCAAGACTAGGTCTACAAAAAAAAAAAAAAAACTCATTTTTTTCAAGTAGCCAGGCATGGTGGCATGAGCCTGTAGTCCCAGCTACTCAGGAAGCTAGGTGGGGGGAGGATCACTTGAGCCTAGGAGGTCGAAGCTACAGTGAGCTGTGATTGTGTCACCACACTCTACCTCTAGCTCTAGCTAAAAAAAAAAAAAAAAAAATGACTAGCAGCAGAGCAGATCAAGACACTGAAAACTGAACAAGAGTCAGATACCCAACCTACTCATGTCACTGTAGTAATATTGGGTAACACCCATAGAGGACTTGCTCCAGGCCAGGCACTGTTTTGAGGGACCTGCATGGGTTAACTCATTTAGTACTCAAAACTAGTCCATAAAGGCAGAAGTGCAATTAGTTCCATTTTACAGAAAGCAGGCTGAGGTTGTGTAACTTGCCTATCGGCACCCAGACCTAGTCAGGCACCAAGATGGAATCTTGCCACTCTAGGCCACTGTAACCTGTGGGACTCTGGGAGTAGAACATAACACCTCTAAACTAAAATCTCTTCATGAGCAAACTAGGAACTGGCATAGTAGATGTGGTTCTTAAAGTCGCATTTCTTAGCTTGAGGCATCCATAGCGGGGTGTGCGTGAGTGGGCAAGGAGGGAGCACGTGAACGACCCTAACTCAGGCCCGCTGTTGCTCCATCTTCTTCTGCCATCAACAGGAAAGGTCCTGTGTTTAATCTATTTAATATATCAGGGTTTTGCATATCAACATTTTGTTTCGAGTAAAGGGTTCTACTCCAAAGTAATAAAAATTTGAAAACTACCAAACTAGAAAAAATGGAGCATTGCCTTTGAAAAGTCAAGGCATGCAAAGACTGTTAAAAAAAAAATCTCTTAACGTTAATAAGAGATGGCCACGTACAGTAGCTCACGCCTGTAATCCCAGCACTCTGGGAGGCCAAGGAGGGCAGATCATCTGAGGTCAGGAGTTTGAGACCAGCCTGGCCAACATGGTGAAACCCCATCTCTACTAAAAATACAAAAATTAGCCAGGCGTGGTGGTGGGCGCCTGTAATCCCAGTTATTCGGGAAGCTGAGGCAGGAGAATTGCTTGAACCTGAAGGTGGAGGTTGCAGCGAACCAAGATAGCGCCATTGCACTCCAGCCTGGGCAACAAAGTGAAACTCCATCTCAAAAAAAAAAAAAAAGGCAGGCTTTTGCCTATAGAAAAGCTCACTCTGCAAGGTTCTTTTAAATATAGGCAGGTATCTGTTTTTGTATCTAAGGTGTTCCTGAAAAAGTTAAATGTATGAGGGGAAAAAACCCTAACCAGACTTTCACTTTACTGAAATGTTTCTGTTTTGAGAGACTCTAATGTATTATAAAATCCATAATTACAATAATTACACTCCTTTTCTAAAATCCCCTCATGTCAATATAATTCCAACATTTTCTGAATCTTTTTTTACTTTTGTTTTCCTTCACAGTGAACTTCTTTTTTTCTTTTTTTGAGATGGAGTCTCGCTCTATCACCCAGGCTGGATGGAGTACAATGATACAATCTCGTCTCATTGCAACTTCTGCCCCCGAGTTCAAGCGATTCTCCTGCCTCAGCCTCCCAAGTAGCTGGGACTACAGGCGGACTCCACCACATCCAGCTAACTTTTTTTTTTTTGCATTTTTTGGTAGAGATAGGGTTTCACCGTGTTGATCAGGCTGGTCTCAAACTCGTGACCTCAAGTGATCCACTCACCTTGGCTTCCCAAAGTTCTGGGATTACAGGCGTGAGCCACCACGCCCAGATGAACTTCTGATTAAGCACAACTATTTTCATCTTTGTCTCACTTGTGTTACATTTATGAAAGCCTGTTCCTTATCACTTCTCTTTGTATTTTATTTTCTCATTTTCTAATCATTTTTTAAAGTAGAAAAATAAAACAAAATATTAAAATTACTTGCAAATGCATCTTAACTGTTCAAGGTGGTGCTACAGGCAAAATGAACTAGCTGGTAGCTGGTAGACGGCATCTCTGTATGTTTACATAGTAAAGAGTAATTTTTAGCTGAAGTTTGAAAGCCTAAGATTGATTTTACCAGTGATCATTTAGATGTATCAATATATAATGTATACAAGTAAAAGTTATGTAAAAGTTCAGTGCATTAAAGGATCAGCCATATTGAAATCCCTAATGTACTTAAAATATAATCCATACAATTGCTCTGAAATAAATCTATTATGTGAAATCATCAATATCAAATGGCCATGAGACTTCTACTCTGTTTCATACCCTGGCATTCTTTTGGTCTCTGGCATTAATTAGCTCAAAAGTTCTTGGTTGTTCTAAGCGTCACCTGGAAAATAATGACATAATTAGGAATAACAAAAGATAACTTTTCCTTACCAAAAGTTAACATAGCATATTATAGCAGTCCATACCTAAACAATTGGCACGATGTTACTTTGAGTAATAAATAAAAACGTTAAGTTTGAATTTGTATTCATATTTAATGTTCTGTATTTAGGAGAAGATGGGCGGCTGGCATATGAACAATTGGACAAATTTCCTCGAGACTGTGTCAAAGTCGGAGGTCGTCATGGAACTGAAGTTGCCACAGCCTTTTAATTACAGGTTAACTGCCTAACAGCTGTCTTAATATCTGACCCTTTTCATCAAGATGGTGCTGTGGTTTTGGCTGGAAATTGTTTAGAGCCTGAGAGACACGAAAACTAAAATAAAAATGTAGGCTGGATGCAATGGCTCATGCCTGTAATCCCAGCACTTTGGGAGCTCAAGGCAGGAGAATTGCTTAAGCCCAGTAGGTTCAAGACCAACCTGGGCGACATAGCAAGGCCCTGTCTCTACAAAAAAAAATTGTTTGATTAGTCGGGCGTGGTGGCGTGCACCTATAGTCCTAGCTACTTGGGAGGCTAAGTGGGGAGGATTGCTTGAGCCCAGAAGATTGAGGCTGCAGTGAGCCATAATTGTACCACTGCACTCCAGACTGGGTGACAGAGCAAAACCCTGTCTCAAAAAACAAAACAACAACAACAAAAACATGTTATAGAAAGAATTCAGAGTCTCATTTCACAGTACCTATCTACTTTTCCTTTGGCCAACATAGGATAGGGCTATGGTATAATTCAATAGATTACATCGTCGATTGTGTCTGATAATACTCAGTGAAAGAGTCCATCTTATCTTAATATGTATGAAATTTAAAAATAGCCATCTTTGTACTTTTTTGCAAGTTTCTCTATAAGCTTGAAATAGTCCTGTGATACTTCGATAAACATCATATGCCTTGCAGTTTTTCTCTGTCGTGTTCTCAGGGTTGAGTGGTCCCCTTAGCTACCTAACTTTACTTTCAATACAAAGCACAAAAAAGAATCTCTTCAAATAAAAGTTTGCCTGCAGAACCAGGCAAAATGACCCATTGTGAGAGTTTAGATGTTTTAATTTTATGTGCTCCCAGCTATTCCGGAGTCTGAGGTGGGAGGATCGCTTGAGGTAGAGGTTGCAGTAAGCTGAGATTGCACCATTGCACTCCAGCCCATGTGACAGAGGAATGAGAGCCAGTCTCAAAAAAAAAAAAAGAAAAAGAAAAAACTCCCACAATTTATTTTGCTTCTTTTCCCCATCCTGAAAATTCCCAAATCATGTTTCCATTATGGAAAAAAGATAAGTACATGACTAAGAACTACCTTAAGTTTATACCTATACACTTAAAAACAAACAAAAAACTCAAAACTTACGCTTTTTTTTTTAATTAATGAGAGCCGTTTTTTATGATATTCTTACCGTAGGGGTATTTTGCTGCTAAGACAAATCAAAACCAAAAGCTGTAGATTCACAAACCTGTGATGCTCTTTGAGGTGGAGGAACCTAGAAGTCGGAGAAATCCTAATGGAGTAGGAGTGGAGTGACATTTAAAGTGGTCCCTCCTTCTGTAAAAATGACCATGGGATTAGAAAGAAGAAGGACATCCTGAGGGGTGGTTACAGCCCCCAGGGAAATCACTCACTGGTAGGATTCCCTGGCCAAATAGTTCAAACATCAGGTCCCATTATTGCTTCAGTATCAGAGATGCAAGTTCATTAAGCAAAGTACAAGACCATTCAGTAGCTCTTATTAAAATATCTTTTCTTCCTCTAAAGAGTATACAAGGTGAGGTATGCCAAGGTATCAAAACAATATATGTGAGTGTAATTTAAACTGTGGGATATCAACTGTACTATGGATGTGTTTGTATCATTTAGATGTCATTTTAAATATTTACATTTTAGCAAGACTTTTAAAAAGGACTCATTTCATTTCAAAGTGCAAATTGTTTGCCAGGCTTCTGGCAAATAGTTCTTTCAACTGTGAAGTTATAATGTATATATCTGTATATTTATAAATATTATATATATTCATATATCCTTCACTTTAAAGGTACATTGTACAGGCTGTAGTTAGTATGTATAGTCTATAGTTTATGTTAAATGGTTGAAATGCTTCTTTTTATAGAAAATCAAACACAGATGTTACAGGATTTTGTGTTTGGTTTGTCATTTTTTTTTTTTTTTTTGACTATTGCATGAGTAATTAATTTCAGATCTTTTGTATTCACTTCTGTATTTTATGTTTGGTTGAGGGGGTGCTTTCAGTTTTGTGGCATTTGTATTCATTGATCTTTCAGTCATGTAAGTTAAAATAAAAATTATTTTTGAATTACTAGCATCATGTGCAGGGTCTGATTTTTTTTTTTCACATGCCCTTTCTGAGTTGGTATTTATGGAACACACTGCACCTCATTTTCACCTTGATTTTATTTTATTTATTTATTTATCTATTTTGAGACAGAGTTTTGCTCTTGTTGCCCAGGCTGGAGTGCAATGGTGTGACCTCGACTCACTGCAGCCTCCACCTCCTGAGTTCAAGCAATTCTCCTGCCTCAGCCTCCTGAGTAGCTGGAATTGCAGGTATGCGCCACCACGCCCAGCTAATTTTGTATTTTTAGTAGAGATGGGGTTTCTCCATGTTGATCAGCTGGTCTTGAACTCCCAACCTCAGGTGATCTGCCTGCCTCGACCTCCCAAAGTGCTGGGATTACAGGCATGAGCCACCACAGCTGGTGATTTTATTTTTAAATTGAAATTCCTTTATCTCTAAATAGAGATAATAAATCTCAGATTTGTTGTAAAGCTAATTGGACAGCTAAGTTTCACTGTTGTGGTATCTACGAGCAGAGACTATGAGCTCCTTGAGGGCAAATAGGCACGGCGGCTCACGCCAAGATCGTGCCACTGCACTCCAGCCTGGGCAAGAGAATGAGATTCTGTCTCGGAAAAAAAAAAAAAGTTCCTTCGCTGATTTGTGTATGTTCTGTTCCCACTCAGACCCCACCAGCATCATCACAAAGGAGCCCCTGACTTTCAACTCTCACAGTATTTACCACGTGACTCATTAAATACCAGTGATTGCTTTTACTGAGTCAGTGGTAAAAACATTTTCCTCTATAAGGTTTGCTACTATACTGTTTAACTAAATTGCCTTAGTTACTTTACAAAATTATAAAGTAAAATTGTAAACCTTAGTTCACTGAAAAATGCCAGTACTTCTTGCTGTATCAGAAAAACTCAAATAAAATATTTTTATCCCTGACCTTTCCTGGAGATAGTACTTCTTAGTAAACAAATATTATCTTTTGATTTTGAGGCAGTCCTAAGTACACCTTGTTCAAGGAATAATGATTGTTTGCTAAAAATTGGATCTCTAACTTCTCATGCATTCAACAAGTATTTGTTGCTTATTTACTCTGAACAAGGTGTATGCCAAGGACTGTTCTTGGCACTGGAGATAGAATAATGGAGAAAAACAAAAGAAATAACAATCCCTGCACTCCCAGGCCTTATATCCTGGCAAGGGAAGAGAGTAAAGCAGAGAAGGGGAAAAATGATTGCACAAGGTGAGGTGAAGAGAGACACAGGGAGAAAGCAAAGATCACAGGTTTGAAGAGAGTAGTCAGGGGCCAGGCACAGTGGCTCACACCTGTAATTCCAGCACTTTGGGAGGCCAAGGCTGAGGCTCCCTTGAAGCCAGTAAATCAAGACCAGCCTGCATGGCATACTGAAACTCCCAACTCTACAAAAATTTTAAAAACTAGCCGGACGTGATGGTGTGCACCAGTGGTCCCAACTACTTGGGAGGCTGGAGCAGGAGGACTGCTTGAGCCCAGGAGTTTGAGGCTACAGTGAGCTATGATCGTGCCACTGCAGTCTAGCCTGGGTGACACAGCAAGACCCCGTCTCAAAAAAAAAAAAAAAAAAGGAGTGCAAAGGCCTCACAGAAAATTACATTTGAGGAATGATCCGAGGAGCTATTGGGATGAGTCACGTGGATTATCTCTGGGACGAACATTCCAAGCAGAGGCAACTGGAGGCAACTAAAATATTCCTCCCTAAAATGCTGGAGATTATAGTGAAAAGGTTAAAACAGTCTCCTTTCTGCCTTGGTCAGCTCGTAACCAAGGCTCAGAGACAGCACTGCCAGAGGACCCAGGAACAGACTTCACTCTTCCCATCAATTTACCTTCCCGCATTTTCTCACCTTTGGGAAGCCTGAAGATGGTCTTTTCTTTGTCTTGTCACTAGATAGGATTCGTGGCTCTTTGTTAAAATACTATTTAAGCAAAGCCCTTAAGCCACTGCTTAGAGAGAGAAATACTTTTGAACTGAAGGCTCTTCTGTGCGTTGGGTACGACACACATTAATAAACTTCCGTTTATTTTTCTTTTGTTAATCTGACTTTGATTTTCAGGACAGTGTCTCAACTGAAAACCTAAAAAGGGGAAAAAAAGAAATTGTTTTCTCCCCTGCACAACAATAAGTACAAAAGCCTTGAGAAGAGACCACGCTTGGTGTTTTGGATTTTCTAGCACCCACACTTAAGACAAAGAAAAAAGAACAGACGATATTAACTGTAATAATACATTTTATTTAACCTAATATAAAATATTTCAAAATATGAGCAATATAAAAATTATTGACATATTTTACATTTTTTCCTACTAAGTCTTCAAAGTCCAGGGTGCGTGTTGCACTTACAACACATCTCAATTGAGACTCGTCACATTTCAAATACTCAGCCATGTGTGGCTACCTTATTGGACAAGGAAGGTCTGTTTTTCCGAATTGTCCCAGTAATACCCTTTACAGCATACACACACACACAAACATACACACACATAGACACATACACATGTATTTATGTACAGAATCCAAGCAGGGATTACATTTTTATTTTTATTTATTTACTTATTTTTTAAGATGGAGTTTCACTCTTGTTGCCCAGGCTAGAGTGCAATGGCACAATCCCGGCTCACCTCAACCTCCGCCTCCTGGGTTCAAGCGATTCTCCTGCCTCAGCCAGCTGAGTAGCTGGGATTACAGGCATGCGCCACCACGCCCGGCTAATTGTGTATTTTTAGTAGAGATGGGGTTTCGCCATGTTGGTCAGGCTGGTCTTGAACTCCTGACCTCAGATGATCTGCCCACCTCGGCCTTCCAAAGTGCTGGGATTACAGCCATGAGCCACCGCACCTGGCCATTTATTTTTTATTTTTTATTTTTTGAGGATGGAGCTTCACACTTGTCACCCAGGTTGGAGTGCAGTGGCGCGATCTCAGCTCACTGCAACCTCTGCCTCCCAGGTTCAAGTGATTCTCCTGCCTCAGCCTCCTGAGTAGCTGGGATTACAGGCGTGCACCACCACACCTGGCTACTTTTTGTATTTTTATTAGAAAAGGGGTTTCACTATATTGACCAGGCTGGTCTTGAACTCCTGACCTCAGATGGTCCTCCTGCCTTGGCCTCCCAAAGTGCTGGGATTATAGGTGAGAGCCACTGTACCTGGCCTACATTTTTATTTTAGTTGTCATGTC